TGGCAGAGAATTAATAAAGGCAATTGCTCAGATTCATGATTGTGGGCTCTTCCATGGTTCGTTGGCGGGATATAATAATTATGTTGTTGTTGGGGACCAACTGAAACTATTTAACATTGGCGGTTGTTTGGAGAGCCTACATGATCAACATTCAAGGAAAATCCAAGATTTCCAAGAGTTCAGGGACACTCTGAAGATGCTGCTGGCACCTAGTTTTAAACAATGGCCTGAGCGTGACAGATTTCTTAATTGTTTTGATGATGCTGCAACATTAAACTTTTGGTGAGTTATTTTGGACTTTATTTTTTGGCGAAATATATGTTGTCATTTCTGTGTTTATGAGTGTTGTTTTTTTTCCTTTTTCAGCTATGAAGACTATGTTAAGAAATTGGAGAGCCACCCCTTCCTATTGACTCCTCGCGACAGGGTGATATATGTTACAAGTATTTATCACAATGATATATCTATTATAAACCAGACGATGAACATCATAGGGGGTGATTTTCAAGCGTTCTATGGTTGGAACAAAGACAGATATCTGTGGGATAAGTTATTGCGTGATATATATGAGTCTAAAGAGAGTAAATCATATGATCGTCGCCCGTCGGAGCTTTTAAGGTTTATGCGAAATACCTATGAACATTATAGGAAATATACTAAGAAGAAAATCGAGGACATTGACGCAATTCTGAGGAAACGCTGGGATGGTTTTTTTGAGCAGCTTCATCTTATGAAGATTATTGGAGTGGTGAATGAGGCATGTTGTCCGTGATTATAGCTTTTAAGTACTTTCTTAGACTATACAACTTAACAAATCAATTTGTACATCATATTTTTTATATATATTTTTTTTTCTATATAAATGACAAAAACTTTTTCGAACCATTTTTAAGTTTATTATTAAATCCTCCCTCTTCCTTTGTACCCGTTCTTCTCTGATTTTGAAAAGATAAGAACTCATCTGTGAGAGTGTGAAGGCGAAAATGTCCTACATTAAGTTAGAAAACCTCAACTTCCTTCATGGTATCAGAGCAAAGCTTCATGTGTTAGGCCCAACGGCCACACATGCCCCCACGTCACCCAATATGTGTTCTCCACGTGTTAGGCATGATACCATAAAGGAAGTTGAGGTTCCATCCCAAAACCAATTGGCAATTGGGGGTAGTAGCCCAACTCCTTATAAGCCCTCTTATTTATCAACATGTCTAGCCTTATGGTTTCGTTGCAATTCTCTACATTCTCTCGTATTTCCTTAAATCGTGTGCCTCATATTTCTCACCTTGGTATAAATTATCTAATCATTAGCTGTTGGAAAAAAAAAAAAAAAAAAAAAACAAAAGAGGATTAGTTATTGTTGGTAGCTAATAGTTAGCTTGATATACATCTTGTTATGTGTCAAGAGATCCTGGGTTTGAAGCCTCTTACCCCTTCTGCGCTTATTTGTTAATTTGCAAGCTGCAGGGTTGGGCAATACCTATATGTCCCCCTATGTATGCTTCTGTGTCCTTCTCCACGTGCCTAATGGAATTGCACTTGAAAGAGGGTGTTAGCTTGACATACATACGGTTGGCACATTGTAACAAATTAATCTTTTCAAGTCTGGTGGTTGTATCGAACAATCTTTAGACAATGTCGACTGTTGAGTGAGCTGCCAAACCTAATCCCATACTTTGAACACCTAAATCTACGCATGAATTTCATAAAGAACATCTACATGATTGGATCAGTACTCTCTGACCTTGTGTCCGTTGACTGGATCCTGCTGCATGATTGTGTTTAGTACCACCTAGTTGTTTGTGGTGGTGATTTGTCTTTATTTTATTACAATGGTTGCTGCCTCGAGCGATCTAAAGCTGACTTGTTTAGTTATTAAACGATGTTTAGATCATTTGAACAATACTAGTTTTGTTTTTTTATCGTCACGTGTAGTTCTGATGGAATCTTCATGTAAAGCTTTAAACAATATAGCCGTGCGGCTATACTCTTTAAATATTTAAACAGTTCCGCCACGCGGCTATAGGCTATACTCTCTAAACATATTCGATTATTTAAATAGTATAGCCGTGCGGCTATACGCTCAATATATTCGAATACTTAAATAGCGTAGCCGTATTCAATTATTCAAATCGTATAGCCATGTGGCCAATGATGAAAGCTCCCTTTCGGCAAAGTAGATTTGGGTTGATTTTCCAGGAGGTATCTTGTGGCCAAAGATGCATGCAATGCTGCTCCATATGGAAGAACGTCTTCACTCAATTTACTCTAAAGAACGGTGAATGCCCTGATTGGAACTTTCCTTGGGACTCATTCTTCATACCAACAAAGAAGAAGTATCCGGGAATTTCTTCTTGATAAAATGAGAAGTCTTCTGCACCCATCATGGGTTGCCTTTCCAATATGTTCTGAGGGCCCAACAAATCACCTGCAACATTTTGGAATTGTTTGTGCAGATTTTTGTCGTTAACAGCCACAGGGTAAAAGGGCTTATCCTTTTCATTGAACAGGACTGTTGCATTACACCTCTGTACACTGGCTAACCTGCAATTCAGATAAAGAAAAAACATTTACAATGTGACATTGTAACCGAAATCAATAAAGACAGCAAAGGGTATTTTTTTGACTTCAGCACTCAGTCAGGATGCCGAAAGTAAAGGGAGGAATACCTCTTCAATTCCTTGTTTAAGTTGGATAAAGCTTTCCTTTGAAAATGCCCTGAACGTGCCACCAATTGTAACAGAATCTGGAATAACATTGAATGCACCACCACCTTGGAATTTTCCAACGGTAACAACCTGCAAGATATACTTTCATATAACTAAATGTATATGAAGTAATCACAGCACCATTCCTTGCAAAGGGGTCTAACAAGCACATGAAGTAAGAGGTTAACATTTACCCATGAGTGAGTGACAGCATAGGGAAAGAAAACATTTAATTACTTTCTATATTTGAAAGCAAAAATGATCTGGATAGAATTTTCACTTCAAATTTTATGGGACAGGTAGATTTTATTGCAACGGAACGATAAAATATGCGTAGTGCAAAACAAAGGGGTCAGGAAGATCAAAGTTCAAAAGTAAAGAAGAACCAAGGTACAGGAATAACAGGAACTAAAATAAATCATTTCTAAAAAAGATACTGATACGACATATAATTGGAAGTTCCATTCCATAAGGCTGCTGCAAGAACAATACAAGTTTTTACTTCCACACAGCTGCACTGCTTGGGCTATTTTGATTTGATGGGTTACTTGAGAGATATAAAATGACACAAGCAGAGGAGAGGGAGAGGGAGAGGGAGAGGGAGAGGGAGAGACAGAGACAGAGAGACAGAGAGACAGAAAGAGAACCTGTGATTCCAAGGGGTCAGCTTCACGTGAAACAAGATGTTGCAGACTAACAATGACATTGGAAGCAGCCAAGATTGGGTCTATTGTGTGCCACCTGTTGCACCCCCCCCTTCCCACTTATTACTGCCTCAAAAAAACCACTCGCAGCAAAAAAAGGGCCAGACCTGGTGGCCACTGAACCAATCGGGTAATCAGCAGCGACATGCAACCCAAAGATGGCACCGACATGCTCCAATGCCCCTTCATCTAACATTTTCTTTGCTCCTCCACCTCCTTCCTCTGCTGGTTGGAAAACAAGAACAACTGTTCCCTATAAGAAACATAAGAAATAACTAAGAAAACTTTCTTCTGGAGATGAGAGATATATTACATGAGACCGCTATTCAGCTGACAGAAAACAATGGAATATCTAATAATGCAGCTCCATAATCAAATATCCCAATAAAGGAAAGATAGAGCTCTTTATGTAGAAACATTAGTCAGCAAGCAACTTCTTATGCTACGGTCAAAGTACATTTTCATAAAATTGACAATCCACTGAAGAATACAACGCTTGTGCTCCAATGACATAGGGAAGTTAACAAAAATGTAAGTAAGAAAAGAACTTATGGTGAATGTGTCATTGATGCTAAGTGTACTTAATATGCCAATAACCCTACTAAGAAATACACACACACTTGGCATTCTATAGACTAAGTACTATGCTCCACCCTGGAAGCTGGCTACATCATAATGCAATTCCAACTTCCAGTGGGCACTCCAAAAGTCAATTAACATCACCGTGTTTCCTCCCTCCTTATTATGTCATCTATGTACTGATACACTTTTGGTAGTCACATCTTTAACTTGATGACAATTACTATTGAGGGGTCTAAGCTCTTCTTTTATAAGCAAACTTCTGGGAAGCTAAGTCAAACTGCTAATGTGTGTAACACATAACATCCAGCCAAGAAATTCAACACACATGAGGGCCGATAATCTCAATCAGCTAACCTGCATGCTTCTATATGGGGATTGTCAAACAGGGGACACATATGTATAATGATTTTGTATTTTTTTATTCCCTGATGTTTTGTGTAACAGCTGAGATGAATCAGGAACCATGTTTCCCCATCTGAAATGACAATTTTTATTGTATAATTGCCATATGAAATTGTCAAAAGTCCATACCAGCACGATGTTCAAGGTTATGTAACTACTTCAACCCATAAAATTAACCAGTAAAAAGAACACAAAAGGTTCACATCAACAAAAATCCAACTTCACAACAAAATTGATATTCTAGAAATAGTATATAAATTCATTTGAGAGTCATCACATAGAGAAGAAGGACAAGGAAACCTGTAATTCCTGGCGATGCTCTTGAAGTATCTTTGCAGCACCAAGAAGCATGGCAACATGAGCATCATGTCCACATGCATGCATCTTCCCTGGAACTTTACTCTTATGCTCCCACTCCACACTCTCCTGTACCAAAAGAAAACCCAATACTTGTCATCAATTTCTCTTTAGCTCTAGTTCAGAATAACAGTCAATATTAATGATTAATTTCCAACTCTCTCAAGTCCAGCACTAAAAGTCCAACATGAATATAATCCTACTCAAACATTGACAAATACTAAATCTATAAAGCTCCAAAATTCTACTAAACCTGCATAGCTAGAGCATCCATATCCGCTCGAATTGCAACAAAAGGCGGTCCACCAGTCCCAATAAAGCCAACAATACCAGTTTCAGCCAATGGGTATTTGTAAGGGATGCCCATCTGGTCAAGCTCAGCTCTGATAAGCTCACTAGTCTCGAATTCCTCAAAACCGAGTTCTGGGTTTTCATGTATTTTCCTTCGAACACCCACCATAAAATCAAAAAGCTTCTGCCTTTTAGCATGGTCAAGGAACTTAAATGGGATTTGAGCCACCTCTTCTGGGCTCAAAGAATGGTCTGAAGAAATGAGAAGTGGCATAATCACCGTAACTATGAAAATCAAAGAGACCCATTTGCAAAGAGCCATTGATTGCAAGAACTGAGCTTGTGAATCTGATGATTCAATTGGAGAATATGAGAGAGTGGGTTAAAATTTTGGGTTAGGTAGGAGTGAAAGCTAAAGATGTAGGTGACTCTGCTCTCAGAAGGGTACCAACAAAACAATCCAAAGACGGTGACCTCAGCATACGAGGGATGAGAAAACAACAGTTTTAGAGCTCCAAGACTCGTAGATGATAGGCGCTAATGGCAGAACGTCATCAATCGAAGGGTATTTTACACACGGGACATGATTCTTACGGAAACGACCTGTCGGTTTTTAACAATATTCATAATTTCTTTCCGTAGCATTCTGTAGGACATCCTCCGCTGAATTTAACATTAGTATCATAATAATTTCATTGTCTTTAATAAATTTGTACATCACCAACTCAAATCCTCTACCATTAATATATAAAAAAGAAAGAACACTTATCTGACTTTCTTTGTGCAAAGTCAGAATGACATATGGGAGATTCTAGCATCAAATTCACATGCAGCTCACAGGCTGCAAGTGGTTTACATGGGTAGAACCCTCACTTCATCCTAGCGCTTCATAACTCATCATGAGAGTTCCCTTTTGGCCAAGTAGATTTGGGTTGATTTTCCAGGAGGTACCTTATAGAATTAACATTTTGTGATAAGACATTGTAAAAGAAATGGACAATCAGCATACGATATTTCTCTTCATCATGTTCTTTGTTTAAGTTGGATAAAGCTTTCCTTTGAAAATGCTCTGGACGTGCCACCAATTGTAATCTGGAATAACATTGAATGCACCACCTCCTTGGAACTTTCCAACTATAACAACCTGCAAGACATATACGCTAGCTTTCACGAAATTGAATGGATGCAGAGTTAGGAGGGCGCTATTCCTTGCAAATGGGGTCTAACAAGCATACGAAAGAGAAATTATAAAATACTATGGTAGTATAACCACGTGGTACTTTTACATGTGAACAAGATGTTAGCATTTAATTCACTTTAACGTGAGTGAGTATAATAATGTGAATGAGATACTAGTTGCTATATGTGACAAAACAAAGGTCTTTAGTGAACCTGTCAATCCAAGGGGTCGGCTTTACGTGAAACAAGATGTTGCAGCAGACTAACGATTACACTGGAAGCAGCCAAAACTGGATCTATATATCGCTTGCTGCGGCTTTTTAGCACAGTCAAAAAAAAATTATCTGGGATATGAGCCACCTCTAAAGAATGGTAAATGGGAAGTGGCATAATCACTAATATGGCTAAGAAAATCAAAAAGACACATTTGAACAGAGCCATTGTTTAAAGGGATGAGCTTGTGAACCTCAAGATTGAATTGGAGATTATGAGAGAGATGTTAAATATTTGGGCTTTGTGGGAGTGAAAGCTGAAGATGTATGGGGCTCTCCTCAGAAGGGTTCCAGAAAATTGATAAAATCCAAACAAGGTGGACCTCATCAGATAACTTAGGATTTCCTCAGAGCAATTTGAAACGTGATGGCTTCTATTTCAGTTTCCATCTTTAACCCAAACAGATTCCCAGAACCATTTTAGTGTCCAGCAAAACAAACCAATCCGATCAAAATGACCCGCAGTTCTTGTTAGAAACTGAATAATCCAAACATCAGATAACATAGGATCCAGTATTGGTCGTCCACAGGAGTGAAAATAGAAAAGCAAAGAAAAAAAAAAAAAAAAAAAAAAAACCAAAAAATAAATAAGTAAGAACAAGAGCAAGCCATAGAGGACAAAGATAATACTCAAAAAAGCAAAAATAGAACCAGTTCACAGCTTGAGGAAAACCAATCCATAAAAGATTAACACAGTACCACAGTTTCCATCTTACTTTCAGAAGAATCAAGACAAAATTATCATAAATATATAATTAAAATAAGCGGAAGTCAACAAAGACAAATTAAAATGACCTAAACCAAGTTATAGGAGATTTTTTATTCTAGGTGGTGGCTATCCAAGGGTTTTGAATTTTCATATTTCACAATTCTTAATATTCGATTCGCGCATCAATGGCTTCTTCATGCTGCAGGGCTTCTATTTCCAGCTTCATGGCAGTTATTTCTTCTTGTTTTGGCTGATTCATTCTAATCCAAAGGGTTCATCAACCTCGCACTCGCTGAGTCATAAGAATGAGAAACTTTGTTATACACAAAATGCACCAGAATTCCAACCTACAAATTAAATGTTATCGATAAAAACACAAGAAACGTGAAGGAAACTTACGGTGTGAAGCAAAAAACAAGATCAAACCATTCAGAGCCCTTGATATCCACAGAATGAAGGGTTGAATATATGGTCTTGATCATATGTCTTCCTCCTTCTCCAACAACAATTTGAAACGTGGTGATACTAAGATATTGAACCTTGAGATATCCATCGCACCAACCAGTCTGGACATGGAAAAAGTCATGGTTCCCCAAATGAACCAAATACTGTGACCTATCGTTAAAACATGGCAGCACCGGACGCTCGAACTCAAGGCCTTGCAATATAAAAAGCTGTCTTAGGGAATAATGAATACCATTATCATCATCTTTGACCATAGTAAAGGAGAATGCTATAATCTTTGAATCCCCATATAAGGCATAGATAGTCTCGTCTACAACCACGGCCCTCCCTTGGAATGGAGGAGCACAATAAGCAGAAATGTCAACTTTCACTCGATTCCAATCCTTTCTACCTACATGAAAAGCAACGACACCGAATTTCCCGTTCCTCAAGCCAGACAATGAAAACAAAATAACACCATAACAAACAGCATAACCAGTTATTTGCAACAGGGGGTCATAATCATCATAAAATGGAAAAGGAGTCATTTGCTTCCAAATCTTCTGATCATGATCATATCTCCCAAAGGAGGGCCCCATTACTGGTGATAAGAAGGTTGATGGACGTGCAAGATAATAAACCTTGCCATATGCGCTCACAATAGTTTCTAGTGATTTAGAGGCTGGGATAGGAGGAATAGATGAACATTTTGACCAACTCTCCATGTCAACAATAAATCCACCATCATGTCCAACGCAATATAATTTGGAGTGGTTGAGAATCCGTGCAGCATCATGGCAAGAACCGTTGCGAAACTTGGCAACATGTCTAACTACTGGGGATTCATGAGTGACTTCTCCTCCGTGTTTGAATTTCACTTCATAGACTGCATTAGCGTGCTCATCGTCCTCATAAGAAGACACGAATAAATATACAGATCTAGCTTCCCCTTGATTTAACGTCATTGATGCATGCTCCCAATCCTCAGGCAAGCTGAACAGAGAAAAGAGATGTATAAAGTTAGTCAAGTTAATCTTTTCAAAGACCTACCCTACCCTACCCTGCCTAGAGAGAATTTATCTAGTAGAAACTGGTTATTACATATTTCAAGCAAATTATTCAAAATGCATACAGCAGCGAGAGAAAACTTAAGCAAAATTCTCCGAGAAACTAAACAAAAAACAACAACAACGAGAATTAAGAACCGACCTTGGGTAAAGATCATCAGCCTCATGGTTGGGATTGCAGTACTCAATCACCGTGGAAGGTGGAAGCGGCTCCGTCATTACGGGTGGACCGGGTTGTCGTAAGCGAAGCTCCTGCGTTATTGATTTCGACCAATCCAACAGTTGGCCCAGAGTTTTCTCCATCTCTGATATCTTGCCCACAGATTTCTCCATCTCCGATATCTTGCCCAGTAGATCATCTTGGTGTGAAGCCATCGTCAAGGCATGGCCTTGACTCGAGGTAAGCTCGGCGGCGGCCATGGAAAATTGAGATATACACCGATCTCCCATGATAGGGCCTTTGCTATTGGAATGCTTAAATTGAGGCACAACGGGAATTTAATTTAGGATTTGGGGCCGCCGCGGCGGAAGGGCCTGTATGATATGAAAGTTTCAAACTCTACGGAAAATTCTATAAATATAAAGATAGAAGAGCAAATGCTGTCATTAATATCCGTAAAGTCTGAATTCCAAAGCATGTATTTATATAATGACCTAATTAATCTTGCAAGAAACAGGAATGTAATCCTAAACCTACTAGAAATAGGAAACTTATTAGTTATTTTCTTTTATATTTTTTTCTGAAGGAAGAAACAGAAAACCTTTCTTTTTTTCTTTTTTTTTGGTTTTGGGGGGAAGGAAGAAACAGGAGACTTGATAGAAGAAGAAACTAACAAACATACCCCTTTTATGATTTTTGGTTTTCCTACTCGTTTTATGAGATTGAGTTTGTTACTCTTTTTTACGAGATTGGGTTTTAGGGCCAATTGAGTAAGCGGTTTAGTTCAAACTCCTATATAATCTACCTTCTTCTCTCCCTCCCTCTTTCACTCAGTATCTTCTTTGGCTTCACTCTCGTTAATCAAAGGTGGTGTTATTGGACCACTCCACATATCTCGTACGTTTTTGCCTCATTGTCAACGACAATTAAAGGTTAGCTTATGCTTTCTCATTTATAACATAATTTTTGTTTTCTTTTGTTTTGTTTTGAACATGGAGGTTTTTTTTTTCCGTTGTGGTGCATGGTTGTTTTCTTTTTTATAAACTAGTTTTGTTTTATTTTGTTTTGAACATTGTGTTGTTTTTTGTTAGAGTTGTGCTCAAGTGTTTTGTGAGAATACTGTTCGTTTTGAGCTCAAGTGTTTTCTACGGATAAGCTAACCTTTGATTGCTAGCATATTTATGTTGATGTGGTATGGTTTACCGTGGGATTTTTAATTTCTCTTTTTTGTTGGTCTTATTTAATCTCTCAGTGTTAGTCTTTTCAAATTTGTTACTCATGATGTTTTTTGGTCTTAACTTTTTAGGAAATGGAGGTTGATCATGATCCCATTGACACCGGTTACATTGATTACATTAAAATTCAATGGCGCAAGAATAATTTAAAATACAAAGTAATGGGTTCTCGAATTAGCTTTTATAATTTACAAATTTATAAATAAACCCAATCCTAGACATGTATTTATAGAAAAACCCAAGCACTATTTAAACATAGAAACACACCCAAAATCAACCACAAAGTCAACTTTTTGGGTGTGTTTATAAATGAATTTTGAGTGTGTGTAATGATGGGTTTTGGGTGTGTTTATATGTTTAAATAGTGCTTGGGTTTTTTTATAATTTAAGCCCTCATTTTGGGTGTTTTAGTGAAACTCCCTTTATAATTTTGATGTTGATTATGTTAGCGGGAAACAACATTATGATGGTGCGTTGTTCTTCAAGGAAAATAAACAAGGTGGAATGCCTGTGACATTTATGAATATGGATGCCAAGGCTGGAACTAAATTGAGTGTCGAAGAAATTTTTAGGTTGAATATTAAACTAACTGATAAAAGGATTCTCCGCCCATGGATGTATACATTTTGCAAACAGAAATCATTCAATGATGAATTATGCAGTGAGGCTGAAAGAAAGATGGTGAAGGGTTGGTGGAGCTTGTGTTATGAAAAGTTTGATAACACACTCCCTGAATGGTTGGCCAAATTACAAAACAAAGAAATTTGTGATCCTGACAAGTTGAACTTCAACGTTGGAAATAAGTGCTTATCTGATTTCTGGCGTGGTACTATACGGTGAGCGGAATAGTATTTTTGTTATGTATTTCATGATTTGACAGGGAATTAATAGAGGCAATTGCTTACATTCATGATTGTGGGCTCTTCCATGGTTCGTTGAAGGTATCTGGTAATTATGTTGTTGTTGGGGAACAAGTGAAACTATGTAACATTGGTGGTTGTTTGAATAGCCTTAGAATACATGATCAACATTCAAGGAAAATCCAAGATTTCAAAGATTTAAGGGACACTCTGAAGAAGTTTCTGACAATGGGACGTATTAAATGGCCTGAGCGTGATAGTTTTCTTAAATGTTTTGACGATCTTGCAAAATTAGATGGGTAAGTTCTTTTGAACTTTATTTTTTTGTGGAATATATGTTGTTACTTGTGTGTTTCTGAGTTTTTGTTTTTGTTTTTGTTTTTCTTTTCAGTTGTGGAAAATATGTTGAGAAATTGAAGAAGCACCCCTTTTTATAACTCCTTATGAAAGGGTGAAACATATTGTCGGTATTTATTATGATGATAAGTTTTCCGTGGAGGATGAGTTGAACCACAATGGTAATTTTAATATGTTCCGAGGTTGGACCAGAGACAGACATAAGTTGGAGCCGTTTTTGCGTAAAATACTTGAGACCGGTAAGGGTAAATCATATTCTAATCAACCGTCAGAACTTTTAAAGTTCCTGCGAAATACCTATCATCATTATAGACGATATAGTGATAAGAAGGAATGTATCAATATCGAGCACGTTGACACTATTTTCAGAACACGCTGGGTTGATTTTTTTGATAGGATTCATCTTATCAGTTAGATTGGCAGTGGATGAGGCATGTTTTTCGTCATCATAGCTTTAGATGAAGTTTCTTAGAGTACTACAACTAGATATCAGCCATTTGTATAAGATACTTTAATGCGTACTCTAAATGTTTGTTTGTTTTTTGCTTTTGTTTTTATTTTATTTTTTTGGTGTCTTTTGACATGAGTTACTTTATATCACGACCTCACACACCAATTGGAAAACGTTATTTCAAAAATCATGACCTCACGCACCTAAACTGCAGAGCTACAGTGTACCCTCAAGAATTTCAGAATTCGTGAAGTGACGGCTGCTTAGTGTAGCTATCCTTTTACCCAAAATATGTCTGCTCTAAAATCAATGCAAGTGCCAAAAGGAATATATTCCGCAACTCTTATATTCCTCAAGATTACTTATACAAGAAGGATGAACTATATTAAATTAAAGGAAAAGTATAAACCCAATTAATATATACATATATATATATATACTTAAAAGTGTACAAGATATAAAAATAAAAAATAAAAAAAACCTTATCACTCTAAACTAATCCGACTTCTTTAATTTCATCTTTTTCTTGTCTATTAATTTATCTGAAAAACAAAATAGGTGAGGGATGAGCAAACCACCTCTCAGTAAGTAAATTATGTTATATGCTAGTCAAGTAATGTCATTTTACACTCTACAAAATATCATAAAAAGATACACAATCTAAATCATTTTACACCATTACTTCATATCTTGGTTATCCTTCACAAATTGTACTTAACACATGACCACTATTAGTCTCACTACCCTATTTCCTCATCTGGTACATTTATCCTTCAAATACCCTATCACTGAATAATACGTACTTCACAAAAACTCCGAATAATATATATTGGGTGAAATATTGCACAAATTAAACATGATTGACTTGAAAATAGAGAGAGATTTGTAAATAGAATGAATCCATGATTTTCACATTTCTCACAAAATAAGAACTTTTAGAACACATTACATAACCCACTCACCATGATAAGTATGAAATATTGCAAGACAAACACACACGTTCTTCATCTTGTTTCCTGTTCTTCTCTCTCTCTCTCTCTCAAACACTACTTCATGGTAGACATCTATTCTAAAGAATTGGAATGAATGATTGAAGTAAGGATGGATGATACTTATAGGAGAGGCTACGGATGCAATCAAATAATAAGATAGAAAAGTAAAGGAATAATGTGGCTCATTCCACATTCCACTTTGGCCAATGATATCACAACATCACTTGTTACTAGTATGCAAGGTGACATGGCAATGATGATTTGAATAAAACCCAATTCCAAGCCTATATACATAGAAAACAAGAATGGTACCATCTTTCACCTAAAGGAATAATCTCATACTAGGCTTAAGATTTTATAACATTTAAGTCTTCATAATAAATATTAAATAAATAAAAGCCACATTAATAAATAATTAATATGTAGTATGAATATTTCTTTAAAATAATAATTTATATAATTTTTAAAACAAAAAACAAAAACATTCTCGCAGAGAATGAATATTATTGGACTATGGTCCGTACCACAAATGGGAAGGACATCAAGAAAGCAATAGTGTACATTCTAAGAAAATCCTGCGAGCAGAAAGCTCGATCAATATGGTTTTCCAGTTGTTGATTACTAGTCCAGGTAAAAGAATTACCTTTCGAAGCTACTTCAATGAGTCCGGCAGAGTGAATAAAGTCTTGAAAGTTCAACATGTATCTAGTGACAACATTAGATCCACCTAATTTTTCATGTAAGAAAGGATGTTTTGTTTTCTTCGGGACCTTTCCTATTGAGAGGGGCGATAACATACTAAATTCACATACACTACACGAATAAAGGTGTACCAATAAAATGTTCCAAATAAGACTTTGTTCATCTTTTTGAGGAAACATATAAAGCCAACAAACAAAAAAAGGTCTATCCAATCCCAGAATCAAACACAGAAGGTAACAAGAAACGATCATTCATGTAGTGAATACCAACTTGAACATTATTGTCATTCGAAGTTAGAATCATTCAACCAGCCACACCATCAGGTGGAATCTCTATAAACCTATTAAAGCTAAAAGTAGTAAATTTAACATCGAAAGATCTTGAGGACAATTTGGTTTCCATAATAAAAATAATATCTGGACTATAGGTCCGATCCAACAAAAGCAATTCCGATCTAAACATCCAGAACAACGTTGACCATTCCATGAGATGAGAGAAACTTCATATAGTTATGATACATAAAGGATAAAGATTATTGTACCACCCAAAAAAAAATATATATAGAACCAGGTCACAGCTTGAGGAAAACTAATCCATAAAAGATTAGCACAGTACCACAGTTTCCATCTTACTTTCGGAAGAATGAAGCCAAACTTATAATAAACATAAAATTAAAATAAACGGAAGTCAACAAAGACAAATTAAAATGACCTAAACTAAGTTATAGGAACTTTTTTCTTCTAGGTGGGTGGCTATCCAATGCTTTTGAATTTTCATATTTCACAATTTCTAATATCCGATTATCACATCATCATTCGCTTCTTCATGCAGCATGGCTTCTGTTTCCAGCTTCATGGCGGTTATTTCTTGTCTTGGCTGACTCATACTAGCCATACTCTCCTCTTCTATGTGTTCATAATCCTCGCACTCACTGAGTCATAAGAATGAGAAACATTGTTACATATGAGATGCAACAAATTTTCAATGTACAAATTAAATCTTATTGATAAAAACACAATAAACGTGAGGGACACTTACGGTGTGAAGCATAAAACAAGATCGAACCATTCAGAGCCCTTGATATCCACAGAATGAACAGTTGAATGTATGGTCTTGATCATATGTCCTCCTCCTTCTCCAACAACAATTTGAAACGTGGTGATACTAAGATATTGAACCTTGAGATGTGAATCGCACCAGCCAGTCTGGACATAGAAAAAGTCATGGTTCCCCAAATGAACCAAACACTGTGTCAAATCGTCAAGCCATGGCATTAGCGGACGAGCGAACTCAAGGCATTGCAATATAAAAAGTTGGCTTAGGGAATATGCAATATCATCATCACCGCCTTTCTCCATCTTAAAGGAGAATGCTATAATCTCTGCCTCCCCGTATAAGGCATAGATAGTCTTGCCTACAACCACAGCCCTCCCTTGGAACGGAGGAGCAAGGCAATCAGAAGTGTCAAATTTCACCCGATTCCAATCCATTCTACCCACGTTAAAAGCAACGATGCAAAAATCCCCGTTTATCAAGCCACACAATGAAAACAAAATAACGTCATGACAAACGGCATAACCAGTTATTCGCATATGGTGGTCATAATCATCATAAAATGGAAAAGGAGTCATTTTCTCCCAAACCTTCTGATTAGGATCATATCGGCCGAAGGACGGCTCCGTAACTGGTTGGAGGCATGTTCGACGTGCAAGATAATAAACCTTGTCATACGCATACACAAGTGAATTAGAGGCTGGGGTAGGAGGAATAGATGAACATTTTGACCAAGTCTCCGTGTCAATAATAAATCCACCGTCGTCACCAAAGTAGTATAAATTGGAGTGGTTGAAAACCCTTGCAGCCTGAGGGCAATAACCCTCTCGGAACTTGGCAACATGTCTAATTACCGGGACTTCTCCTCCGTGTTTGAATTTCACTTCATAGACTGCATTAGTGTAAATCCCGTCCCCATAAGATGACACGAGTAAACATACAGATCTAGCTTCCCCTTGAGTTACCGTCATTGATGCATGCTCCCAATTATCGGGCAAGCTGGACAGAGAGAGATGTATACAACAAGTCAAGCTAATCTTTTTTTAAAGACCTACCCTGCCTAGAGAGAATTTATCTAGTAGAAACCAGTTATTATATATTTCAAGCAATTATTTGAAATGCATCCAGCAGCGAGAGAAAACTTAAGCAAAATTCTCTCATAACCTTTTCTTTTTATTATTATTATTATTATTAATTTTATATAAAAAAACAGCAGCAACAACAACAATGAGAATTAAGAACTGACCTTTGGTAAAGATCATGAGCCTCATGGTTAGGATTGCGGTACTCCATCACCGTGGAAGGTGGAAGTGGCGTCATCGTTATTTCTAGACTAGGGCCTTGTAAGCGAAGCTCCTGCGTTATTGATTTCATCAAATCGAACAGTTGGCCCATAGTTTTCTCCATCTCCGGTATCTTGACCATAGATTTCTCCATCTCCAATATCTTGCCCAGTAGGTAATCTTGGCGTGAAGCCATCGTCAAGGCATGGCCTTGATCCGAGGTAAGCTCAGCGGCGAAGGTTGTGGAAAATTGAGATATATACCGATCTCCCATGATAAGGACTTTGCTATTGGAATGGTTCAATTGAGAGGCAAAAGAGAATTTAGGGTTTGGGGATGCCGCGGCAGAAGGGGTTTTGTTGGGTATGATATGGAAGTTTCGAAATCACTGAAAATTGTAGAAATATAAAGATGGAAGAGCAGATGCTTTCATTAATATCCGTAAAGTCTGACTTGCAAAGCATCTACTCATATAACGACCTAATTAATCTTCCTAGAAACATTAGACCGAAAAAAAATCTTCCTAGAAACAAAAAAAAGTAAGCCTAAACCTACTAGAAATAGGAAACTTACTATTTGATATCCCATTAATTTAATGGACTTTTATTTTCGTCTTTAGGAGAGAGTGGAGGCCCATCACCGATCATGATTCTCAATTTTTGTTGCTTCTCATAAGAAGACGTAATTCAGTCGAAAAATTTTTGGCAATGTATTGACAGCTTTAGGGGGGTGTATTCAATTGAGATTTTAAAATACTATTTATGGATAAATAAGTCCAGTGAATTTTAAAAGACTATTTAAGAATATAATGACTTATAAGATTTTTTTTGAAAGATTTTTTATATTCAGGATTTTTTATGTTTGGATTTTAAAGATTTATATCATAAGAATTTATAAGATTTGAAAGGACCACATGGATTTTTTATTTGTACGATAACCAACCAACTTAGTTGTGGGCACTTGCATCAGCAATAACATAAACGAGATCAAATGGAATAGAACAATAAATAAAAGCAAACATTCAAAGTTACAAGAGTCAATGAAAACAGGAAGGATTATAAAATGGGTTATAAAATTGACACCAATCTCCGCCAACATTGGAAGGCTTGACTAAAATGGTTCTGCATCCAAATTGGATTGAAGCTGAAAATTCAATGGTTTCTAGTTCTGATTTATCCTTTATTTTATTACAATGGTTGCTGCCTCAAGTGATCTAAAGCTGACTTGTTTAGTTATTAAACGATGTTTAGATCATTTGAACAGTACTAGTTTTGTTTTTTTTTATCATCACTTATTTCTAGTTCTGATGGAATCTTCATGTAAAGCACGTCAGTAATGAGGTCCTTTAACCTCCCAAATATGAGCAAATCCAGTTGGTTCACTGCAGATACAAGGGGTTGTGAAATTGTTCTTAGTGCAGTTAAATGCACATTGAGGACACCATGATTTTGGCACTTGCACTTGGTTAATGGATATATTTGAATTTAAAGTATAGCCGCGCGGCTATACCCTTTAATTAAAAACTACAGCCGCGCTGCTACACTCTCTAAACATTTTCAATTATTTAAAGAGCGGCTATACTCTCTCAATAAATTTGAATATTTAAATAGTATACAATGATCACGATGCCATATCCCATCGCATGTTTGGCTAATAATTGTAAATGCCGATGTGTAAAATCTAGAAGACGAATGATGTTTCTTGTCTTATCTTGAAATTGCATCCTCTCCATCCTATGTCTAGTTTGATTGCATACAGTCCAATTTGGAATGTGAAAATGCCGCCTCTCTTTACCAAATTTTATTTAAAATTTTCATTTTCCTACATTTGAGTTTCATTTGCCCTGCAAACCTATTCAACACCAATATTTCGTTGGTTCGGCCTAAGTTTCGACGAAATTAAAAGTTTAGAATTTTTATGTTTTTGAGAACAAAAGTTCAAAGTTTCGCATAATGTATGTGGGCTCTTATATTATTAAAGATTTGAAGTGATTGTTATTTGGGCCCTTGTATTTTTAAACTCTCAAAAAATTCATTTAATATGGACTTGAACAATTATATATGGGAGTTGATTTTCCCATTTATTTTTTGTCCACTTACACGCCCTTATATGTTATAATAAAAAGTATTAAAAGAACAAAATGGCGTATAAGTGGACAAATGATGAATGAGAAAATCAACATCCTTAGCCCTCTTAATCGAACGCCCTAGGTTGTCGCCCAAGGAGGGCCTTGCATTTAAGAGCTTTGTATAAGAAAAAAAGAGTGGTGTTGTAAAATATTTTCACTTAAAAATAATAAAATTAAATAATAAAATTAAAAAAAAAGGAAAAGGTAAAAGCTCAATGGTTAAAGGTAAAGAACAAAAGTGTAAGTAAATAAGTCATTTACATGAATTTTTTACCTGCTATAGTAAAAAAGAGAATCAATCAAATTCTTACCCAATCACAAACATTTCTATCTTCTACTGCATTACTAGTACTACTACCACTATCAGAAGTGAGCAAGCTCCAGTGACCAATCATTGACTTGTAGAAACTAACCACCAAACCCAAACGACATCGTTTCACCCATCCGAAAGGTTAAGATACATCCAGCCGTCCGTTAGACCTTCACTGGACCCCTCACAAACCAATCAAGTGCGCCACGTGGAAAACAATAACTCCATTCAACGACGTAGACGAAACTCAGAAAAAGGCAAAGCAGCTTCGCTTCTCCTTCTTCTAACGCAAACCAACACGCCTAAGAAATCCCCAATCAACCCAATCGGCAAAGCCACGGCCATTACACGGTCCTCTTCCTTCTTCTCCTTCGAAACCCTAATTTTCCCAATCCGATCCTTCTTCCTCAAAATCTAGCGTCAATTTCAAGGTACGCATATGTACCCAATTACCCATACATCTATCTATACATCGCTGTTTCCAATAAATGTTGTGACGTTTCTTTGTGGTGAAAATTTTCGATCTTGATTTGGCGGGGTTGGGAAAACAGATTTTGGATTTAGGGTTTTGATCGATTTCATCGCGTTGACGTTTTTTTATTATGCAGAAGATCTAGAGGGTTCGATAATTGCAGAGAATCAACCATGTTTACCAGGCTTTTTGGGAAACCTAAACAGGAAGGCAATGCCCTGACCACCTTAGACAAATTAAATGAGGTAAAATGACCGATTTATTCATCGATTTTTATTCATTTGTATTGATAATTTTTCTCAGAGTATTTAAATTTGTGTGATTCGTTCGTAGCTTTGTTAGTTTGATTTGGTTTTGGAAGTCTGTAAGTATTACTGTGTGTGTCTGTGTGTGCCAGCATGTGGATGATTCTCTATGGGTTTGTGAATCGAAATGAGAGGCTGATGGGACATGATGAACTCTTCAATTATGTAGTTCTTTATGTTTTCTTTGAGTTGGTTGATGCAATTAGATTGCTTTCTGAAGCTGTTTTTCCACATATGAAATGAAGTTCTGATTTTCAAGTTGATATCTTGGCTTGTATTGCAACAAAGGCCATTAATCTCGGTAGTGATGATGATAACACCTATTCAGTTGACGGAAATGTTAATTATCTGGATGAACTTTGTTTCTGGTTGTGTTTACACCTATTTTTGTTCCTCTTCAGCAGTTGATTATTTCCTCAATCAATCTCTCTCTGTGTTGTACAGACACTTGAAATGCTAGAGAAAAAGGAAAAAGTACTACAGAAAAAGGCTGCTGCAGAAGTTGAAAGGGCCAAGGAATTCACCAGAGCAAAGAACAAAAGGGGTATGTTTGCAAAATGTTTTCATTCTTATGGAGAATTCGGATGGTGATAATCTAATTCTTGAATAATTTTTAAGGAATTTATTAACTTTTTGCTTTGAGAGAGGGCTTATGTTCACATCCGTTTATCCATTAGTTTACATTTTGCACCTTGATTATGTATACATGAGTGTGCCTTGTATTATTGCCATCTAATGCTTATCAAGCTTTTTTTCTACAGTAACTTAATCTAAGTAAGGAACTTAACCTGAAGGTTTCTTAATTCCTCACCACTGCTTTCAGCACCAATTGAATTGGTTAGGACTGGAGACTCAGTGTGTATACCAATACATTTTATACTCCTTAAAGTTGGTCAAATATATGAATGATGATTGTCAAACCTGTCTAGATTTTGTCTATACGTTGGAAATCATAAAGAGTTTATAAGACCCGTATATGATTTGAATCTAAAACCAAAGATGTGTTGTCCATGTCTTTTGAAATTCTAATTCTGTGGTTGAGTTGTAACTTATGCTGTTTTTTTTGCAGCGGCTATACAATGTTTAAAGAGGAAGAGGTTATATGAACAACAAATAGAACAGCTTGGAAATTTCCAGTTGCGTATCCATGATCAGGTGACGTTGGAATTGGAACTATATTTCTTGATCCTTTAAATAGTGTTTCAAATATTGTCAATAATTTTATCTATTTTTGGATTTTTTGGTTTTGATGAATGGGATTTTGCTGTATTGATGTGGCACACGTTGATGTTGCAGATGATAATGCTAGAAGGTGCAAAAGCCACAACCGAAACTGTAGATGCCTTGAGAACTGGAGCAGCTGCAATGAAGGCAATGCAGAAAGCAACGTATGTAGCATTTATTGTTGTATTAGGCATATTTGCACTTTCCCGAGAATTTTTTTTTAATAATATGCTTTACTTTTTATGTTTCATCTTCATTTCTTGGATGTCACATCACATCTGATTAATTCAATTATGGGTGTTCCTGACATAATTGAAATGGGTGCCCTTTTGATACAGGAACATAGATGATGTGGACAAGACCATGGATGAGATTAATGAGCAGACAGAGAACATGAAACAGATACAGGAAGCGTTGTCATCTCCAATTGGTGCAGCTGCTGATTTTGATGAGGTTTGTATTGTCTTTTCCTTTCCTTATCCCAATATGATTGGTTTTCTAAATGCTATGTTTTCAACTAGTATATACAGCTGCTTAGTGGTTTGGACATTTTTAATCTGCAGGATGAACTGGAAGCAGAACTTGAAGAGCTGGAAGGCGCTGAGTTGGAAGAACAACTTCTCCAGCCAGCAACAACAGCTCCTGCTGCTCCAGTGCAAGCCCCAGCAGGAAGGCAACCAACCCGTCCTATTCCCCAGAAGCGCACTGCTGAAGAAGATGAATTGGCTGCTTTGCAGGCTGAGATGGCACTTTGAGCAGGTCCGTTAATCAGTTTCAGTATGATTATTGTAATATCATTAAAGACAAAATTGCAGTTGTTTGTTTCACAAATTGTGCCTTCTTTTATCATTTTAGTAGAATGAAGTACATTAAATGGAATTCTTTTTTAGGGTTTTAGTGAAATGAACTTATATGCAGTTTCATTGTTTTGTATTTGAGTTAAGAGTTGATTTTATTTGTTATAATGTTGCAGGTATTATTCTGCAGGATGAAAGGAGGTTATGTAAAGGATTGGTCTGATTTTATAATGGAGATTTGTGCTCCGATCAAGCATCCAGATTTCTGTGTGGCTTCATTATTAAACAGAATGTATATAAAGGTGGCATAAATCAAACAGTCCCCTTTGAAACTTGTATTCTGCTTTTTCAGAGTTTTCTCTTTCTTTTCTTTTTCTTTTTAACTTATCTTTGAACATTTATTCAATGTTCTGTCAGGCCTGAATCAGTAGCTTGTTCTATTATGTGATATGACCAAGTGAATAATATGAAATGATCTTGGAGCCTATACTATGAAGCTCTTCTGTCTTCTTGGTATCGCCTCCACCCCATTGGACTTGGTCAGTATTTTGCTTAATCTATCGGCTGTTGACCCAAGGCAATGACAGGAAGGAAATGATGCGTAAATTTCACCGTCTCTCCTGTGTTTAGGTGTCTTTTTAATCATTGATAAAGAGGGATTCGAACATGGGAGAAATTTTAGTCTTCAAACATGAACCGTGTCATTTATTATATGTTTTAAAACACATGAATAATTGTGTAATGGTTACACCTTCGGGTTCTTTTTCAGCCATGAAAAGACTGGACTAAGAACTAGTCTCTTCATGTTGGCCATCGATGAAAATGCTACTGCTCAAATACATCATCATCGTTGAACGTTGTCTCTATTGTTGTTTCATGGTTGCTATTAACTTGCTACACTTGGTAATCCAACAAAACTTCTAGTAACAAATATTAATAGATGGGGCTTGTAGCTTTATTGGTTTTTCACTCATGCCAAGGGTAGAGTTCAAATGCTCTCCTCATTTACCCCTCCTTTAATAAAAAAAAAAAAAAAAAAAAAAAAAAAAAAAACAAATATTAACAAACAAACGTCCACCATTCAATTTGAATTATTTTATTATTTTCTAAGATCCAACAAAACAAAAAGGGTAGAGTTCTATATGATTCTTGAGGATAAGAGATTTTGTAGTTTTCCAAACCCTAGGGAAGGTCGACGTAGGTCTTTTTGTTCTAGGGTTTAGGGTTTAGGGATGGATTAGGCCAATCTAACCCAACAAAACAAAAAGGGGATGGATTGTAAACCGTTGAAGCCGAGAGAAATGCAAGTGCAAATGCTTCTCCACACCCCAACCAGTGGCCCTGGCACTGGCACTGGCATGCTTCTTAAAACAAGGTTGCGCATGTAAAAAACTTTGGTCCACAACCAGACAACAGTCTCTCTATAAAGCGAAGTGGTAAACACGTTGTCTGGTTTGGTGGGGTCTTGATTTCACAACTTTTTTCTGTATTGACAAAAAAGAAAGAGGATGCCCATTGCCCACGTCGTTCCTCTTTGGTGCCATAAACAATATTAATACTGCTAAAAGTAGGTATTAGATTTTGGTTTACAACTGTTTTGACTTTTGAGGTTCTAATTGCCCTCCAATTCACTTCAGTGATTTTAACGTTTACTAGAGAGAGAGAGAGAGAGAGATAAACATAATGTGAACAGAGAGAGGATATGGAAATGAATGAATCTTGAAATTGAAAAAAGAATAGGGGATTTGATAAAAATGGTAACAAAAAATTAGCAACAAGAGCAACATAGGCTAGCAAGCAAAGCCTAACATGATAATGATGCAACAATTTCACTTCACAATTTTTCTTGAATTTTTCTCTTCTCTTAATTTCATCTTTCTCCAAAAATGGGGTCTCTAATGGATGATGTAGGTGAGGAGCAGAGCCAATACCATCAGCACATAAGCAATTCCTTGGTCAACTGCTACCCCTGCATACCCAAACACAACCATCAACATTCAACACGCACAATCTGAACTCAAATCACAACAACATGATTTCTAGAGAGAAAGAGAAACATACCATCACTTGTAGGGGCAGGGGTAGGTGCAAGGGTTTGAGCATTGATGGAGGGGAGAAGCAGAGAGATAACAAGGGCACAAATTGCCATCACAAAAAATTGAACTTTCAACATCTCCATTTTCTACAAGCTGTAAAAAAATTTCCCACTTCCCAAACACGGCTCTTTCTCTCTCTCTCTGCCCCCCACTATGGTATGCCCCAATGGGTCTCTTCTCCAACTCCAATGCAAAGTTTTCAGCCAAATGAGGGTGGCTTTGTACCTCTTCAGTCCCAGATTTATATAGAAAGAGAGCAAAGGACTTTGAATGAAAGAGGAATACAAAGACACACAACAGGACCAACCCAAAAGCCTAAAACGACAGTGGGACGAGGAGAATCTTTTACACCCAAAAAAAAAAAATAATAATAATAAAAACGGCCACTCTGGCTTATAATTGCTGCTAACTAACCATATGATTTCATTTCAATGGCTCTCAGCCTCCTACCCCAAATTATATGCTCTTGATGGTGCCACGCGTACGCCCGAGATCAGTTACACGTTAGAACTCCGGGCATTGTTGTCGAGCTGTGTAACTGTGGGACCCCCCTCCCACATGCAATCATATCATCAATCCACTCATATTCTCTTTCTATTATTTTTGAATTTTCTGGCTAAATTTCAAAAGTCTAGTAGATGATTGAGCCGTTGGTGTGTTCTTTAGTCTTTTCTGGACACATCACACTTCAAGGTAACTGACACACATCCAACTTGGCAATTCAAGGGAAGGCAAGGCGGTGCGTTGGAATATAAACAAATTTGAACCTTCCTTCCTCTTGTTGATTTTATCTTGACAATGAAAGGTTCGAATGTTGTTCTATTAATTGTCGTAAACATGATGAAAATCAGGTGACTTATATTTAAAGTATTTGATCCACCTGTTCCTGTGCAAAATTTATTCGACAATTATTCATTAAATCAACTACTAATCACGTCACAGTATTTTGATGATGAAATGTGTTTGATGCAAATTAATGGGCCCGAGCTTCCAGACTAAGCTGGTCTGGTTAAGGAAGAGTCAAGGCTGAAGCCCATCTTTTTTCTGTTTTGGTCTGAAATTCATGTTGTATTCCAAAAGATCCCAAAACAGGGAATAGAAATACAGATAGAAGGCAAAAGCCACAAAGAGCCAGCATAACACATGAAACAAACTACCAAAAGCAAGGTTAGACATAGCTAGATTCCACCGGAACCTAGAGCAAACAGTCCCTACCCAGCAAACTAACTACTAATAGGAATTAAAACTAAATTGCAGATGCAACAAGAGGTGGACAAGGCAAACCATCAGATGTTAACACCCCAACGAGAGACAATGGTGGTCTGTCGACCCAACTTTGCAGTTCCATAGCTCTGATACCTATCGACGCCGCTGCATGAGCCGCACGATTTGCACTCCTAGGTACCCATGACCAAATCACCTCTTCGAAGCTCGAAACCACATCATGGATTTCGTCAATAAGAGGGAGGATAGCCCAGGAGTTGTTATCATGATTTCCAGAGATGCCATCTAATAACACCTTGCAATCTGTCTCCAAGATGACTTTCATATTACCCCTGTTTTTAGCAAGATGTAAAGCACAAAGAGCTGCTGCCGCTTCTGCACTAAGAGATGAAACACATGAAAGTGGGGAGGCAAGACCACCACACCAATCCCCAGAGGAATTACGAGACACAATGCCAATGCTGCCCTTCATTGTGCCAGGAAGCCAAGAGCCGTCCAAGTTGAATTTTACATAGCTTGGGCTTGGATTAGACCACCGGGTTCCTTGGACTTGATGGACAGGAGAAAGGTTCCCTCTAGCATCAACCTTGGAGATAACCGCCAAATATTCAGAGCAAGCATCTCTAGCATGGGTGATCACAAGCCTCGGATCAGGGCTAACCCCATTAAAAACGAATTTGCATCTTGCCTTCCAGATTTCCCAACACAGGAAACTGAGAAAAGATAATAAAAAATTGCCATCAGTTCTTGAGGTGCCAGGTATCGAAATAATGCCTTCAATCCATCTATCAAAAGTCGAGATCCTCCGGGTGTCAACTTTGTAGGAGAGGTCTGAGCCAAACCACACAAGTTGAGTCCACGGGCAAAGAAAAAGAATGTGCTCCACCGATTCTTCAAAACCTTCGCATATTGGGCAGATAGGATCCGTTGCAATTTTTCTTTTAAAAAGAGCAAGTCTGGTTGAGATGGATCCAGATAGAGCTCTCCAAAGAAACAGTTTTATTTTTGGGAGAGTCTCCACCTTCCATATGGTCTTCCAAACTCTTTCCGAGACAAAGTGTGAGGAGTGATTATGGCTTGCAATGTCGGTATTTTGTCTAGCATGAAAACGGTGGTACCCCGACTTGACAGTATACGAGCCACTTGAGTTCCATGGCCAAACAAGGCGATCCGGTCTGGAAGAGTGACCAATGGGGATGCATTTGATGCTCTGTAGGATGTCATTGTTTATGAAGGTGGAGATACTATCCAGCTTCCATGTGTGGTTTTGTTTGTCCATTAGTTCTTGGACCAATTGGGGGGCTTGAGGAGGAATTGGCAGCAAAGTTTTCACAGGTCCCGACTCACAGGAAGGGATCCAGACATCGTTCCATATATTCGTGTTTGCACCGCTAAAAATTTGGAAGCGTGTTTCTTTCATCATTGCCTTTCTTCCCTCAAGAAGGCTGACCCAGGCCCATGAAGGGCGAGAACCCTTAGTTGCATTAAGGAAGTCAGTCGTAGGGAAATAACGCGCTTTCAAGATCTTAACCCAAGCAGCTTCAGGGTTCAAAATAATTCTCCAACTTTGCTTGGCAAGAAGAGCTAAATTGAAGTTGGACAAGTCACGAAATCCCAAACCTCCCACTTTCTTGGCCAAGCATAATTTTTTCCAGGATTTCCAATGAATTCCAGCGCTCTCCTCATTATTGCCCCACCAAAATGAAGCCAAGTCACTGTTGATTTGATTACATGTTCCTTCCGGGAAACGAAAACAAGTCATAGGAAAAGCTGGCACAGCAGTTGCTACTGCCTTTAAAAGAACTTCTTTCCCAGCAAGAGAAAGGGAGTTGAGTTTCCAGCCATCAATTTTCTTCCGGATCCTCTCTTTGATGTAGCCTAGAGCTGCATTCTTGGATCTTCCCCAAATTGTCGGAAGGCCCAAATAGATTCCAGGGTTGTCAACTCCATTAATATTCAGAAGAGTACAAATATCATGTCTAGTATTTGCTGGAGTGTTGGGAGAGAAAAAAGGCTGGATTTTTGAGAATTGATGCACTGACCAGAGGCTAAGCAATACTTGTCCAACTTCTCTTTTAGCTTCATACAGTTTTGAGCTTCAGCTTTCACAAAGAACAAAGCGTCGTCGGCGAAAAACAGATGGGAAATCATTGGGCATCTACGTGCGATACGAATGCCTTTGATCTCTCCATTATGAACAGCGCTAGACAAGTTTCTCGAGAGGGCTTCACTCACAAGCAAGAATAGGTAGGGAGAAAGCGGATCCCCTTGCCTTAGGCCACGAGTCGGTTTGAAGAATTTACCCGGTTGGCCATTGATAATAACTGCAAAGGAAACCGTAGAAATGCAGTTCATGATGAGGTTGATCCAAACTCTAGCAAAGCCCATTTTCAACATTACAGCCTCTAGAAAATCCCACTCAATCCGATCATAAGCCTTGTTCATGTCGATCTTTAAACCCGCCTCATGTACACCCCCTGAATTCTTTAATTTCAAATAATGAAATGTCTCATGTGCCATGAGAATATTGTCTTGGATTTGCCTATCTGGCACAAAGGCATTCTGGTTTTCAGAAATGATGTCTGGGAGAATCGATTTCAGTCTGTTTGCAATGACTTTAGCATCTTGTAAGAGTTGTTGCATAGGCCAATTGGCCTAAACTGATTAGTGCTCACTGGCGCTTGGACTTTAGGAATCAGAGCAATGAAAGTCTTATTAAGGGCTTCCAAACGGCATCGACCAAATTGAAGATCACTAGTGGTGCCACAGACAATGGGTTTGACAATATTCCAGAAGAATTTGTAGAACATTCCTGGGAAGCCGTCAGGGCCAGGTGCCTTGTCAGCTCCAAGTTGGTGCGTAGCTAATTTAATCTCCTCTTCCGTGAAAGGGGCAAGAAGTGTGGCATTCATCTCTGTGGTGATGGTGGAGTCCACTTTACTGAGAATTTCAGACCAATCTCGAGGCCCAGAAGTAGTGAATAAGTCACGAAAGAAATGAAAGAATTCATTCTTGATTGCTTTCTCACCAACAAGCCACTCCCCCCTAGCATTTTGAATCTTAACTACACGATTTCGTTGTCTCCTTTGAATGGTTGAAATGTGAAAAAATTTTGAGTTGGCATCGCCAGACTTGAGCCAAGATATTCTTGAGCGTTGCTTCCAATATTGCTCTTCCCAGTTCCAGAGTTTGTCAAGCTCAATTTTGATACTTCTTTGCTGGGGGACACAGACATCCTGAATGTTCTCATTTTGGAGCTGCTCAAGTTCCAAGGTCAGCTCCCTTATTCGAGTTTTGCAGTTAGGAAAGTGGACTTTGTTCCATCTAATTAAGCGAGTCTTGCAAAGCTGCAAGTTGCGGGTCCATTTCACATCGTTCTTGGCATAGCCTCCATCAGACCAACAATCCTTGATGATATTGCCACATTCCTCCTCATGTAGCCATCTCGCTTCAAAACGGAAAATGTTGCCTTTGCTGCGACAGGCAGGGTTACTGTCAAGAAGGATAGGACAGTGATCAGATCCTATCTTAGTGCAATGGGTGACACAAGTGCCTTGCCACTCTTCAAGCCATTCAGGGTTGGCTAGAGCACGATCAAGTCTCTCTCTCATGATTACATTGTCTCCCATGAGCCTCTCCCACGTGAAACCTTGACCTTTAAACCCCAAATCCATCAAATTACAAGAGTTCATAAATTCAATTAAGAATCTTCTGCGGGAAGTATTCCAACCATTTCCTCCTTCTTTTTCATGTTGCCAAGAAATTTCGTTCAAATCACCCATAACCATCCAGGGAATGTGATCTTTACGCCCCCAAGCATTCAAAGTCTCCCAAAACTCCACTTTCTCGCTGTTGTATGGCGTACCGTACACCCATGTGCATCTTCCATAAAAAGAATCAGAAGGCACCTTTACCACTGCATCAATCCAATTCTTTGTTACATCTAAGAATTCAATTTCCACCGTTGATTTCCACCAAATGCAGAGACCACCTGCTCTTCCAATAGGATCAACAGTCAATCCCTTATGATAGCCACACTGTCTCCTCAGGTTCTTTATACTGTGGCTGTTCTGTTTTGTTTCCATAAGAAAAACCACAGAGGGATTTTTTGAATGAAGGAGCTCCTTCAAATAAAGAGTTGTCAAGGGATTCCCTAAACCTTGACAATTCCAGGAGAGCTGTATCATGATCCCCTTGTGGCTGTTCTAGGCCAGCCACCACCGCCTTGGGGTTTTGAGAAAACCCCCAAATCAGTCGTGAGTTGTCTCCCTTCTGCCAACTCAAGCTCCTTCGAGGGGCTAATAGTAACATCACACAAATTCCCCAAATCAGTCACAGGATTGCTACTTTTTTTCTCTGGTTTCCTTTTTTCTTGGCCGAGTCCCTTCATACCCTTTGGTCTACCTCTAACCCCTCTACCTCCTCTGTTTGAAAGGTGCAGTGAGCAGCTGGGAAGAGGGCTATGAGAAGTTTTGGCTCTTTTAGCAGGTTGGGCTTCCTCCAAAGGTATGGGAATTTCCCCCAATTTCAATCTTCCTTTTCCTTTTTTTTTCCAGGGTCAATTGCATTGGATGAGGCAATAGAAGGCTCAGAAGTGGCAGTCTCAACAAACGTTGGCCCAACATTAAGAGGTGTGGCATCTGTTGAAGGCCCATCTAAGAATCTGTTCTCTAAAAGGTTTGAAGCATTTTCAAAGGCCCAAGGAGGGACCCTATCCGGGTCGCACCAATTTTTTTTAAGAGACAACCCATTCACAGCTATGGTCAGGGTCCCATTTTGAAACTGGGTCCCAAAGCTGTCAGGATTCCAGCGATTTGCATAGTCTGCTCGAGTAGGTCCGCTCAAAGCAGGGATAGCCTGGCCCATCCCAGGTTGCAGCGATGCAGACACTGGTTGGGGAGCAGTCTGAATCCTGGGAGAATTTGTCTTTGGTTGCAGGTCTGCAGGTTGCAGAGAAATAGCGGACCTCGTGTTTGTTGTCGGATTTGTCTGTATTCGGGTCTGTTGGGTCCTCACGAAGGTTTGAACGTATTCCGGTTCAACAACGCCGGAAAGGCCGTACAAGCCACCGCTTTTCCTCTCCAAACATCCCCTCCATTTATTCAAGTCCATACCAGATTGAGCATTTCGGTTGGCATGGCGTTGAAGGAAGAGGTGTGTGCTTGCTTTAGATATTGTTGGAGCTTGGAGGTCCTCAAAACCACCCGCATGTATAGGACCTCTGGAGTTAATGGAGCTAATGGTCCAGGGGCATCCTCTTGAGTGACCAAGCCGTCCACAATTGCGGCAATAATCCTTCAGACCTTCATACTTTAATCTAATCTTCCTCTTTCCAGTGGTAGGGCAGGGCATAGTAAAACTAGGGATCAGTGGTTTAGTGGCATCAAAGTCAATCTTCAATCTGAGAAAGCCTCTGAAACCTGTTGTTTCCAAATTCTCCACCTCAAGAACTGCTCCAACCCTTTCACCAAGGGTTCTAGCGTTTTTCATAGTGCAGAAGTTACGGGGGATGCCGTGAGCTTGCACCCAAAAAACTGCCCGATTTGCTACAATATCGTCTAAAGAGTGGTACAGAGGCCAAGGTTTAATGGTGAAAGGGTTCCCTTTTATAAACCACGGACTTCCGTCTATGAGTCTGCTAGCCACCGCTTCATCCCCAACAGTGATTGAGTACACGTTTTCCTTTGCCTTCAAAACTTTGACCTGCCCCATGTTTGTCCAGATTGCACGCAGCACATCTTTAACAATACCCTGGGTGGGTTCATGGTCAGCAATGAGAAGGCCCACAAGAGTGATTTTGTTTTCAATATTCTCCTCCAGATCGAGGGAATCATCAAAATGTATCGACATTTCCTCCATCATCAGCTCGTCCTCCAGGATGTCAAGGGATGCCATTCTGGTGGTTGAGAAGATAAGGGAAGCACAGATAGACGAGCTCAGGTAAAACTCTGGAACTCGCACAGACAGCCACAGCTAAGGGCTCACAAAACTAGCAACAACGGACACAGAGGGGTGTAGATTCAGGGTTTATCTTCCCCTCTGAAATCCCAGAGAACAGACAAAGGTTAAGAACACAGAGGGACGTTCCTTGTTATCCTTATAGTTATACGGTGAAGTATACTAATTCTGATCAGGAGGATACAAACACCCTGATGTAGTAACATCGGAACGGAAGACGGTGGTGTGGGTTTGTTTAAAAAAAACTGCAAAAGAGGAAATGAAGGTAACAGGTAATGACTGGTGTATGGCTGAGGGAAGGATGGGCGACGGGGGCTGGTTGTGCTGCTGGTGTTTCATACCCATATGACATAGTAAACAATGAAACCCAATAATCTGTTATAGCAAACACAAAATTGGTTCGTCCCATTAAGCAAGGAGACCAGGAAATCTTGACCTAATGACGCAGAGTCTGGTTTAAGTAAACAAACATGTTAGATTGAACCCCTGCATCATGTCATTAAGTATCATATCAACCTGTGTTCTTAGTACCATTATGATTCATAAAGCTAAAGGAAACAACATTTCCTTGTTCGATACAAGCCATAGTGGTGATTGACAATTGAAATCTAAGGAATTACAAGCCATACTGTATTTACCATGCGGTGCCTTTCAGGATCTAATCAAAAACTGAGCTCAGTGGAGCTGGTGTCATCTCTATGTAGTCAAAGTCCTCTGTTATTCCAATCTGCATTTGAAATTAGAAAGACAATTATCATAGGAAAGAGAGAAACTCGGAAGCTAGATGGCCAGATTCAAATTGAGCATGCTCTTTCAGCTGACATGACAAACGACAACCTCAGCATGGCAAGCTCATGAGTTCAAAATAATAAAAACCTGGGCTTGCTCTCTATTAATTCTAATTTACCTCGTTGTACAAGTTCTCAAGCTGCTCTTTGGCCTGCGGAAAGTTATTTGAACACCACTGGCGCACTGTGAAAATGTTGTCTGCAGTAATTAAACCACAGTTATTAAGAGTTCCCATTCTCTTGATTTAGAAACACACCCCACCCTCCAAACAAGAAACAAATGGATTATGATAAAACCTGTCCATCGATTAGCTGCTGTATGGGCAACTTCAATTGCTTTCTCTGCCAACAAAATTATAATATGGTCAGTTAACTTATTTGAGTTCTAAGGTGTTAAAGGGGCATCATTCTACTATGATTGAAGCATCAATTAACTCATTGCTTCAAAGGCCGCTGGATCATTGTCTGCATACTGCGCCATCTCATCCTGAAAATGGCAATGGATTGCAGTTAGCAACTCGATCAAATAATTCATTTAAGTTGTTTCAAACTCTAATGCATCACAAATGTGCAGGATTTATAGACTCCAACCTTCAGCTCATTATACTTTAGCTCTATGGCTTTTAGATCAGCTAAGGCCTCATCTCGTTCATCCTGGTAAAAACATGAGCTTCAGATGCATAATAACATTCTTACAAATTAGAAAACAATTCAAGCCTTTGAAAGAGATAAAAGTTTGAAACACTCACAGAATCCTCACGTCCCTTCTTCAGAGCATTACACTGTTCAACAAGTTCTGCATGACGCTTCTTACTGCTTTTGAGATCAGATTCAAGTCTGCTATTCACATTCCTAAGCTGCCAAAGACCAAAACAATATCAGCACGAATCTACTTGTAGGAATTTCAGCACAAATCCTACCCTGTAGAACTGAGCTTATAATGTAAACCATCAAAGGTTCACCTGGTTTCCAGCAGTGCTAGGAAGACTCCAAAAATACACCTGAAATTTTAAAATAACAAACATTACAAAATGCCAATAAAAACAAGCATTTTGGATCACATCTTTTACAGACTGATCATCATCCACTATGCAAAGCTGTACGTGGAAACATCTACTTACAGAGGTTCCTATCTTGTCTTTGAAAACAAGGTCATCATCCACTAAACTTTGGATCACATCTTTCACAGACTGAGAAATAACACCTTTCTTTGGGCCTGACTTCTCAAGCTCCTTTAGCTGAAATCACCAATAAACATATGAACAGAGCTGTAGAAGTACAATATAAGCTGAAACCATTGACATTGTTCACAATGACAAAGAGATTAACCACATTTGAAAATACAGAACTCAATTGAAATCAATTAGAATAGGGTTCGCAAAATAAAATTATAAAAAATTGAATGAATTCATTAAAATTATAGCATCAGGGCGTGATAATACTCACAAGGAAGAAATCTTGAGAGTCGTAAAATATTTGAAGCATCTTCTCGCGCTTCTCATCCAACGAAAGACCTCTCTTCTTCGACTGTACACAAATCAAAACATCGCCAACAAAAAACAAAAAGAAAAAAAAATTGAGAGAAGAGAAATCGCAAGAAATTCAAAATACTAACACACTTCGTTTCTATACGACACAAATAATTAATTGGAGCAATTAATTTGAACTTAAGATTAAAAACTATATTGAATCTTGTTCATTCGCGCATTTTCTCAGTAACCAAACGGAGCAATAAGCTAGGATTTGAAACTTGAGAGATCTGATACCATAGTTAACGAGTGAGCTAGAAATACAAATGAAATTAAAGAAAAATTAGGGTCCAGAGAGAGAGCGATTTACCATTGAGGCGAGCTGAGAAGACTAATTGCTGAGGAAGCTACTGAAATGAAGCGTCAAGATTGGCGGGAATTCTTTATATCCACTGCAGACTGCGGCACTCAGCAGCTTATGCTCAAATTACTAACATGTCCTTTTATACTTCACATTTGCGTTTGGTCAAACGACGTGTCGGTCGAATGTGAAGAACAACTTACTCGTACGGATGAAAAAGGGATTTTTTTTTTTCAAGTACGGAATGGAAAAATGATGGTCAAAACCATATCTCCTCCTCAAAAAATCTAAAATCTAAATCTAAACCTCAAATCATGACTGTTGGATCAATGCAATTATGAATGAGTCATGAAATAAAATTTTGAAATGGAATATCATGTAAGTTTTCTTTCTCGTATCAACGTATCACGTGTTACTCATGTGATGAGATGATTGTAAGAAGAAAGCGTATGCATGCTCTATTTCACTAAAGAGTTTCTTAACATAAAACAACTTATCATTTTGTAAATAGTGACCTTAAACCGTTGGATTCTTATCAAATGGCCAAGATCGATCTCGGCTATGGCCCTCTCCAATTCCATTTTTATCATCCCATTACACACAAATTAAATAATACCAACCAAAAAAAAAAAGGTCTGGTAAAAAGCCACAAAAGATAGAGCTGCCAGCAGCTGCAATATGTGACTATTTTATGCATGCTGATATACTAATGCCTACTAGTTCAATATTATAAGCAAGTTGAGCAATATTATTAAGGTAGGGTCTTCCTTTGTTACGCCTTTTTAGACTTTGGACTTATGGTTGCGTTTCTCAGTATCTTTCTGCTCTGCTTGTCGGCACGAAGATTTTGGCTTTCATGCTAATTAAATTAATCATTGATTGCTGGTACAGTTCAAGTTGAAAAAAAGAAACAATAAAACATATGAATAATGCACCTACAAATTTTCAAAACTATCAGGTGGGTGGGTAGAAATTTTTATATTTAAACTGTGGTCTGGTGACACAAATCTCTGTCATCCTCATCCCACATGTTTAAAACTTGGTGGCTTGGATTGAAAATGGATGAAAAGGATTTGGTCTGACTAATTTGGCAGAGGATCTTGAGCACACTGAATGTGAAATCAATATATACGCATTGACCAGCAAAGATGCTCACGTGGCCAACATGTTCTCTCATTTTAGAAAATAAGGAAAATAAGTACATGTAGCAGGTTTTGCAGCATCAGGTTCCAATCCACACTGTCATATAATTTTTTTTCTTTGCTTTTCTGGTACAAAAACTGTCATTCTTTATTAGTATCAGATTCATAGGATCCAAGAGAGAGAGAGAGAGAGAGATGAAAATGTCAACTGGGTTCTTCCTCCTGTTGCTCTGTGCAAGTTTAGTTCATGCGCAGCGCCGGATAGGTTAGTTTTTTCTTTAAAAGCAAAGGATATTTGTGTCTGTCTGGTTCGTTTTACATATCTACTTATAACTTCTTGTTTTAGCTCTAAATATAGTTTCTTGTAAAAGGCTGTATCGTTAAGTACTAGTTGCGTGTGTTCTTGGCCTATTGCTACCTTTCTTGGTAGGAGAAGAACTTTTCCTACTAATAAAGACCATTATGATTCTGTGGCATCTTTTATAAGGGTAGATATAATTCATCAATCTAGGATTTTAGGTCATAAATTGGGCTGTTTTGTTATTTTGTGTTAACAATCAGAAACAGCTCATTCATTCTGATTTATCTTCACTTATCTGTTTTCATTTAGACTTCATAAGCATTGACTGTGGCTCTCCCTCGAAGCCCTACGAAGACACAGACACCAACATAACATATTCACCAGATGGAGATTACACAGATACAGGGATAAACCAGAACATCTCCTCTGAGTATATGTATCCAAAGAATCCCAACCTACCCCTCCCTCTCTCAGACCTCAGGAGTTTTCCTCTAGGAAACAAAAATTGCTACACATTGAGACCCGAAGCGGGAAAAGGCAGCTTGAATTTGATTAGAGCTTCCTTTTTATATGGAAACTACAATGGAGAAAACAAGCTACCTGAGTTTGATCTATATCTTGATGTCAACTTCTGGTCGACAGTGAGATTTGGAAATGCTTCTGAAATTGTTACAAAGGAGATTATAGGTTTTACACAATCTGATAGCATGCATATTTGTCTAGTAAACAAAGGTTTAGGAACTCCTTTCATTTCAGCATTGGAATTTAGACCGCTCAACAGCTCAACTTATGGTACTGAGTATGGGACCTCTGCATCATTAGTACTCTTTAAAAGGCTAGACATTGGATCAAGCAATGGAACAGGTCGATATGGAGATGATGTTTTCGATCGAATTTGGTCCCTTTATGTTTCACCTTCTTGGGATACGGTTAGCACTTCTTTACCAATTAATACCTATGAGAACGGATATAGAGCACCGTTTGAAGTAATCAAGACTGCAGCTAGACCTCAAAATGGAAGTGAACCTTTAAACTTGTACTGGAACACAACTGGTATGGATGATCAATTTTATATTTATATGTACTTTGCTGAGGTAGAGCATCTTGCGAGAAACCAGTCAAGAAAGTTCAATATATCTTGGAATGGAACTCCATTGTTTGGACCTGTCGTGCCACGTTATTTACAAGCAGACATAATATCAAATTCAAGAGCTCTGGTGGGAAAAGATCACCAAATTTCTATAAACAAGGCAGAAAACTCTACCCTTCCACCCATTCTCAATGCTATTGAGGTTTTCAAAGTCATGCAGCTGGTTGAATCACCTACTTTTAGTGAAGATGGTATGTTTTCTTTTGTTGAAGTTTACTGCATTGAAATTTGTATCTTGCTCATAAAGAAATGCTTAGCTTCACACCGGTCTTGTTTGATCTCAGTTGAGGCCATAACGAATGTCAAAACTACATATCAAATAAAAAAAATCTGGGCTGGCGATCCTTGTGGACCTAAGAATTTCTCTTGGGAAGGTCTAAAATGCAACTACAGCCTTTCACTTCCTAGGATTACTTCGCTGTAAGTCCTTCTGGGGAACTAGAATTAATACAATTTTCTTCTCCTTTGTAATCCATTTCTAAACAGATTTGCCTTTTATTGTCACTAGGAACTTGAACTCAAGCAACTTGAGTGGGATCATAGCTGCTTCCATTGCCAAGCTCTCATCATTGGAGTCCTTGTAATTATTGTTATTTTATGCTTGCATAAAGGCTCATCTTGTTAAAGCTATCCACTTTAATATCATACAGAACATACTAACTTAACTTTACATGCTTTGTCCCAGAGATTTGTCGAACAATAACTTGACTGGACCAGTGCCTCAGTTCCTGGAAGAACTGAAGTCTCTCAAGATCCTGTAAGTGTAATTACTACATGATGATAGATTCATTGTGATGCCAGCATTCCATTATTAAGAATTGTCATGCAGGAACTTGAAAGGCAATCAATTGTCTGGTTCCGTTCCAAACGCTCTTCTGGAGAGATCAGGAGCTGGACTACTTGAACTGAGGTACACCTCCTCATCTCAACCCGGAAAACTTGTTTCTTGTTTATCTGGTTTTGTAAGCTTCTTTTAGTTTAAAAAATAACAGAAATGGTTCATGTTATGCATTATGCAGAGAAGTATGATAATTGTGTATCTTCTGCATTTCAGTGTGGATGGCCAAAATCTTTGTGGCTCGGATTCATGCAAAAAGAAGAAGAAAATTGTTGTTCCAATAGTTGCATCGTTATTATCAGCACTAGTCCTCCTTATAGTGGTGATAGTAGTATGGAAATTGAGAAGAAAAAGAAAAGCAGGTACCTTTTAAATTAATGGAAGAAATAACTTCTGAAATTATCATTTTAAATCATGAAAAGTTCCTTCTTTTAACAGTCGGAATCTGAAATCATTATTTTGTGTACTTAGATACAGAAGGAGAAAACTTTAACAAAACAGGAAGAACTATAGCATCAAAGAAATGCCAGTTTACTCATGAAGAGGTTTTAGAAATTACCAAAAACTTTCAAACTGCAATCGGGAAGGGAGGATTTGGGATTGTGTACCATGGCTACATGAAAGATGGCACCCAAGTTGCAGTCAAAATGCTTTCCCCGTCATCATCTCAAGGACCTAGGGAGTTCCAAACAGAGGTTTGTCAGTTAGAATGCCTTGAAATTCATTGGATGTGGAATAAAAGTCTTGCATATGAGTGTTGAGTGAAACTAGAATGAAAGACAGGCCTATGCTCATTTGTTATAGATTTGATGAGTCCCTTGTTGACTGCAGGCTGAGCTCCTGATGAGAATCCATCATAGAAACTTGGCCTCATTTGTTGGATACTGTGATGATGCAGACAACTTAGCACTTATATACGAGTACATGCCTAATGGCAACCTTAGAGGCTGTCTCTCAGGTGATCCTTTATCAAAGCATTGTCCTTCGACATGAGCTTGAGCATTTCAAGATATTTAAATGTCACATTAATGGTTGCAGATTCAGATAGGAGCACACGTATGACTTGGGAAATGAGGCTTCACATAGCAATAGATGCTGCGCAAGGTTGGTGCTTCCTGGTACTCAACCCAAAATATGAACATCTCTTAAAACTTAGAACAGCTTTCCTACACCAGCATTCTGTGCATGTGATTTTCCAATTTCCTACAAAAGATTCTTAAATATATATTCTGGTATGACAATATTTACTATATTACAGTTCAACTAATGTAGATAGTGAAATATGTCTCTCAGGGCTGGAGTACTTGCATCATGGATGCAAGCCACCTATTGTACATAGAGATGTAAAGACTGCCAACATTCTCTTAAGTGAAAATTTGGAAGCTAAAATTGCAGATTTTGGTCTTTCCAAGGTTTTTCCCAGTGACAATGAGCCTGATGTAGTGACAACAGTCATGGGCACTGCAGGGTATCTTGATCCAGAGTATGTTTTTACATTTTATTATTCTCTTAGCATTTTAATCATGTGAGAATATGATGTAAAAAAGAACTGCAGAAGCAAATTAGTTTCAAGTTTCAATGTCAAATTCGATTATGGCAAAACACAGATATAAGAGGAGTGACTGATTTATGATTTGTGCTCAGGTACTACAATTGTCAAAGATTGAATGAAAAAAGTGATGTATATAGTTTTGGGGTAGTTCTACTAGAGCTCATTACAGGCCAGCCTGCAATCATAAAAAGTGATGAGCATGTCCACATTGTAGAGTGGGTGAATCCTGAGCTCCAACGAGGGGATATAACAAGTGTTGTAGATCCGAGGATGCAAGAAGGTTACGATGTGAATTCGATCTGGAAAGCCTTAGAGGTAGCAATGGCATGCACAACTTCCACCTCCCAACACAGAGCCACAATGGATTTTGTATTGTCTGAGCTAAAATATTGTCTGGAAATGGAATTGTCTAGGCATCGAGAAAGAAAGCCAGGCTCGACAGAAGAACTTCGTGTTAGATTTGCACCGTATTCTAGTACTAGTTCAACTGAAGTGTTTTCCGTGTACGCAGATTCCACAAATGCAGAGTCCATGACAGCACCATTTCCTAGGTAGCTAGTGATGAGGCTTGATATTTGCAGCCTTGCAGGTTGAGAAAGATATACAACAAAGTCTATACTTAGTTTTTGAATTTCGTTTATGTACATAGCCAAGTTTGTGATTCATTTTTGAGTTTTATGATTTGGCACACAAGTTTTCTGGTTCTGAAGTTGAAGCCATGCCTCTCTCTCTCTCTCTCTCTCACTCTCTACCGTGAGCAGAAATTTTCCATTGATGATCAGCACAACTAGTCTAGAATGCGTAGATTAACAAGTGCGTTTTGCAAACAAGAGAAAGGAAAAAAACCAAAAAGGGAAGAAACACGTAATTTGAATACGGGTAGGTATCGCCGCGCGGCTATACTCTTTAAATATGCGTATATATTTCTACGGTATAGCCGCGCGGCTATACGCTAAAAATATTCTATTTATGACTTATAGCCGAGCGGCTATACGCTTAAAATATTCTATTTATACAGTATAGCCGATCGGCTGTACCTTCAAAGTATTCTATTTAACGAGTAGAGCCACCCGGCTATACTATTAAAATATTCTATTTAAAGAGTATAGCCGCGCGGCGATACTGGTAAAATATTCCATTTATAGAGTAGCGCTGCTCCGCTATACGGTTAAAGAATTATATTTAAAGAGTATAGCCGGCTATACGAATTAAAATGATATATTCTTTAAACTTCCGGATTTCTCTGTAATATAAACCCAAAAACTATATAATGTACTTACTGCCACCACTAAACCAAATTCTAGAAAGAAAAAAAACATAAATGCATACAAGGTAGTGCATCGGGTGTAAAATCTGTCAATTCATGGCTATATATGAATGATTCGTTTTGATGCATGCCTGTGATTCTCTTTCAAGTTTTTTGTTTTTATGGGTCTTCTGAGTTTTTCCCTATTGAGTAAAATCTGTTGTTATACCTTTTTGGGTTTTCTGAACATCAATGTGCTTATTTTCTATTCGGTTTCTGATAACTTGATTCATGACGCAACTAGCAATCTAGAAACTTTAATCTTTTGTTCTCAGACCCTTAGAAGCAAGGTAATTCTCTTCTCCTTATTGTTAGCTATCAATGTTCATGCACTTACTTGCCCATAGTTGCTTAAGATTCCACAAATGCAGAGTCCATGACAGGACCATTTGCTAGGTAGCTAGTGAGGAGGAGGCTGGATATTTCTCAGAGTAAAGTCAAATTTATATCATTGAAGATTGTATTTCTCTTCTTCTTTCCTTGATACTCACTAATTTGACCTCATAATAAACAATTGCAAGTTGGAGAAATTACTTGTAAACAAAGATATTTCTTAAAAGAAACAGCACATGTGAATTTGAAATTCCTTGACTAGCAAAGATGTTGACTTGACCAAGTTGGTCTCTTAGTTTAGATAGCTTCCACCTCCCAACCTAGAGCCACCATGGGTTGCCCTATGCTGCTTCCTTCACAATTCTTTGTAAATTTGATTAGATTATTGTAATGATGTTTTACTACAATATACAAAGGCAAATGACCAGCTTTTCTTAGCACCCATTTGAATTGTATTCACCGTCAATCAACTCATCCTAAAAGTTTATTAGCTTAGCAAGAGTCTTGCAATGAGACTTTGCATGTTGAATAGGGGAAGGCATAATATGTGACATGCCTCACCAACCAAAGAAGTCCTTAATATACAAGAAAGAAATATGATGGCAGAGTTGAATGAAAAGAGGTCAAGAAGGGCAGATTCAGAGAACAAGTATAATAAAGGATATGATGAAGTTCACAAGGGCCACACTTTATATTAATATTCTTAATCTGAGGCATGCTCTATTTGTCCACTTCCAGCCAAAAGAAAAGAGAAGGCATCCATTTTGGTCATCACTTTTTCAAGTACTAGTCTTTGCCATGTTCTTAAAGATAATGGTTATTGCTGTTTACCAAAGACTAAAACCCTTTTACACTTCTCACTCCTTGAATTTTCATTCAAATTGACTATCCATCTATGAATAACATTTATGGCTTTTGACTATGTGTTCTTTGTAACCTTATTCTAAGCTCATTCAATTGAAAACAAAACAAAACAAGGAACCCACAAGAGAGAGAGAGAGAGAGAGAGAGAGATGGTCATTGTCAGACGTAGACATTTTCTTCACTTTGAATATTTAGCACAATGCAACTATTGTGACCTCTGACTAGTCAGAAGCAAACAAATTATTGCTGACTACATATTACCTCACAATATAACTGAATATTTTCACTTGCACAATTAGGCAAACAAAATAGGTTTACAATAGCAAATTAGGGCCCTCAGCCAAAGTTACCACAAACATTAATACAAAACAACGCTAAACACCGGCTTGATTAGTCGATAAACTGCGTGCATATTTCCATAATCATCCAAGTTTGGTTGTTCTTAACAGAACCAAAACCCTAGTATTTTGATTTTCATACGAGTTAGTTTGTGAATTTGATAGAGAGGCTTTGCCTTGCCATCTCGAGTTCATAGCCTGCTGTTAACATGGAGGTAAGGAGAGAGTTTTTATATGCATAATACATAGAGCAAATTCATAAGTATATTTAAATATTTGCCTAATAACCAAAGTTACCCAGAAGAGCATCAGCAGGAGGCTCAAATCCGTAGGCCGTAAGAGCCCCACTTTCATCGCCAGACCACAGGGTGTAATTGTTCTCCAAACCCAAAATAGATGAAGTGGGAAGACTTGAAGCTTCTTGAGATGATGAAATATTGGTGAAACTCTTACTTCCACAAGTGCCAAAATCATTAACTTCCAGAAAATTTGAATGAGGAAATTGACTTATTTGCTTTTGTTGATCAAAACTCTGCCCCAAGCTCACGTCCATTAGATATGGCAATGTACCATCAAAACAAGATGATGAAGTCCCATGATCCTGAGGGGTTCCAAATTCAAATTTGGGAACTGAAGCCGGAAACTCTCTTGAAGCCAAATTCATGTTATTTTCTGCGAAGAATTTTTTCTTCAACTTGGTATTCCAATAGTTTTTGACATCATTGTCTGTTCTTCCTGGGAGTTGGGATGCTATAACAGACCACCTAATTAATCACACACAAATAGAACTTCACAAATGGTACAAAATTAAACAGTTTAGATACACAAGATATGTTTATAAATAATATTGGACTTGCCTACTTCCAATGGTACCGTAGAGAGTGCAAATAAGCTTGTCTTCCTCCTCAGTAAAACCTCCACGCTTGATGTCTGGCCTAAGATAATTCAGCCATCTCAATCGACAACTCTTACCGCAACGGTTGAGGCCTTAATTCAACATATAATTAAATTTCATTTCATTTAACCACCATGAAGAAAAGTAGTACTAACTGTTTTGCATGAACTAACCAACTTCTCCAAGAACAATTAAGAAGTAATAATTAGTGAGTGATCATTTGAAATTAGAGTACCTGCTTTGGTAGGGAGGGAAATCCAATTGCCACCAGTGCCATGGTTGTGGAGGTAGTTCTTGAGGGTGGTGTCTTCTTCTGGGGACCACGGTCCTCTTTTCACTTTAGATTTGTCACAGCATGGAGCTCTTCCCATGGCCAAACACTCAAAAACACTAGTCTACTACTCTGGCCTCAAATTCAACCACCAGAGCAGAGCAGCCAAAGGGTCCAAAAGCTAAGCTAGCAGAGGAGAGGAGAGAAACTAAACCAGTGCGGGGGTACGTTGAGCGTTTGAAAGATGGATAAAAAGAGCCTTTAGAAAGCTTGACTTCGTCTGACTGACCAATAAAGTTTATTCATATTCTTAATGGGAAAGAGAGACTAGTCAATGTTGGTGCTTCAGGAAGCACGCAGTTCTCATTCATTTGCTGTTAAAACAGAAATTTCCCTACACAATGCCACTGCCATATAAAATAAGAAAAATACTTGACTCGTTGCACGTAAGTAAAACGCGATTTTAACTTTACCTTAGGCTTTCGGATTAAAGGAAAAAAAATCTATTACCGGGGTGTTGACAGAAACTATTTCATGCTTTGATCACCCTGACATGGGACTATTCAGATACCATCTGTCATGATATGGCCTCATGGATTCATTTTTATGCAGAAAATGCGAATTTTGTAATCTGGGATATGTTAGGCCAATTGAAATATTATATTTATGGATTTGAGATTGATTTTATATGGAGATTGGTTGGTTATCATCTGCCAAACTTCGCTCAATGTCATGATCATGTTGTGCTTACTGAATATAATATGCAGACGGCTTCAAATTTTATTGGCGATGACATAAAACTGAATAAGATCGATTTGCTATCATTGGTGATCAAAATAAATCAAGAACAGTCACAAAAGGGTTCAGCTGGCTCATGTACTTGGGCTTCCAAGCCTTCCACAAAATCCAACTACATTGGCTATGGGCCTATGGCAAACTGTCACCTCTCCTCGTCCAATAATCCAATTTCTTCTCTCCAAATTTTATTTTAGGACCATCAAACTTTTGTAGCCCATCAAATCGTACGGAAAAAGACTGCTCTGTTTTGGGCTATTCCGGAATGAAAAGCATGCTTTATTTAAGTGATGCATGAGGACTTCAATGATGCTTGGTCTTTATTAAAGCGCATCGATATTGTTGAAAATGTGTAACACATTGCTACATTTTATTGGAGATAGGAATCAACAGTTGGCACGCAGGCCGAAGTGGTAGCCCGATGGACCAAAGTTCGACTCGGCCTGATGGTTAGGTCTGTTTGACCTAGCCCGCTTTAAGGTTGGATAAGACTTGTGCTTAGGATTTGGAACTCTCGGCCCACTCGCGGCTTGCGAGCTGAAATGGGTAGCCTAAGACTTGGTGGGCCAAAGTCAGGCCCAGCTCGATAGTTAGGCATGTTCGATTCGACCTGCTCTAAAGTTGGGTAGGATTTGGGCTTAAAATTTGGAACCCTCAGTCCACCCACGACCTAACCAGACAAGACCTGCCTGTGGTCTGGCCCAGCTTGGCCCGGTCTAATTGACGCACTCTCTAACCTCCTTTTATACTTCATCAAAATAATGTAATATAGATGATAAACTAATAAACTTCTTATTTTGTTTACACATATTATAAATTAAGTTAATTTTTTCAATGTTGTATAAAATTGTGTAACAAACAAGCAATATATACATTATATCTTGTCATGTTCAAATTTAATGGTTCAATAAACAATTTGAAAGCTTATTTTGCTTTTATTAATTATAATGGCACAAATTCCTTTAATTTTCATGATGTCAATCCTAGTTTGGGATAAAAATAACACATTTTCATATGATTCATTTTTAGGTATAATATTTTTTAAAATTTATTAGCTATTGTTCTAGATTTAGTAAAAGAGTAAAGCTATTATATATTTATTTTCTTAAGTTATACAGTAATTTATACTTTTTATCCATTATTTTACCCCCCCCCCCCCCCCCCAAAAAAAAAAAAAAAAAAGTAACAAAAAGATTTAAAAGACTTGAGAAAAAAAAATTAAAAAGCTCGGGCCAAGTCCTTTGAAACCTAATTTTGACTTAAGACTAGTCCGAACTCAAAAATTTCAAGCATGGCCACGAACCCTAATTAGAGATAACGATATTGACATATTATCTATTGAAATTGGTTAAAATAGCACTTTTTCACAACTTCTATTCTAAAGTAGCCCCTTTTGCATTAAAGAGACATTATATAGGGCAGGGGCTATTATAGAATAAAAGTTGTGAAAATTGACTAGTTTAGCGCAAACTCCTATTATTTATAACATATCAACAGTATGTTCTTTAATGAATAGTGGAGGTCCATTTCATAATTGGATTGAAGGTTTAGAGAGAGAGAGGGATGCAGTCCTGCATTCTTATTCTTCCTATAATTTGGCTCTCTTGTCTCAACAAAAACAAAAAGTCAAACGTTGGCATCTTAATCTTTCTATCCCAAAAAAAACAAATTTGACTTGAAGAAATGAACCACTTCAAAATTCATATGAACACAATTATGTATATGAATGCAACCTGTAATGGTAGGAAGATAAGAAGATAATTTCTTACTATAGGTCCGGATTTCCTGCAATCCGAAGGACAACTGAGTGGTTAGGTTACCACATTTCATGGCATGCATATAATTGTGCCCTTTTTCACATCCCATCCATTTTCATAGTTCCATACATTAAATGATCTTTGCGTTTTCGGTCCATTCTGTCAGCATCAAACTCCCAAGTTTAAACTATAAACTAATACACATTTGCACTTAAAAATAAATAAATATATATATATATATATCATTTGGTGTTGGTGCAGCCAAAAGTAAGGGTTTCGAACCCATCGGCGCAGGATAGCGACTGGCAACTACCCAATTTCATTTGAGTTACTTGGTTTGACGGTAACCTCAATGTGCTGGGAAATCACACTACAAATTTACACAATTTCATCGTCTTCCTCGCTTTCATGGTCATTGACAAAAACACACACACAAACAAAGAAGATTTTTATTTTATTATTCTTATAATTCTAAACTCAGTTTGTCTTTTATCAGAAATGGACCCACCTCGATTTTTCTTTTGATAATGTAGATTTCAGTGGACTGATCTGATGCTAACAATAATGTTAAAGAAATCATTTGGATTGAAATAGAACCTAGCCCCAATCTACAAGTTTTTTTTCCCAGTGCTAAAAGCCAAAAACGTCAAATATATATATATATATATATAATGATATATGGCAGACCAAACATCTCAGTTTCCTATAATTCCTCGATGCGTTCATATTTTTTAAGTTTTTGTTTTCGATGCACAAAATTATGGTTTTTATTCTCCAAAAATGGATATTCTTCGTGATGTTCTGCCAGTTTGGATGGCATATCCCAGAATGAGAGAGTGGAAATTTCAGGACCGCAGGGCTCTCTCCAGTTTTGCATTTCCAAGAGCACGACATGTATGTACATGAATGAGCAGAAGCAAATTGATGTTTAGGGACACAAAGCATGCACGTGGCAAACATTCAAATCAAAACATGACAGGTTTTTAGGTGATGCGGCATATAGCTTATGACTCAAGAGGCAGACAACGACACTTGTAGTTTGTAGTTGGATGTTGGATTGGAACTCAATATAATAACTCTGCTCTTGTATTTTATTTTGTTTTGGGGTAGGAAAACAAAGTTTGTTTCTTCAATTCGTTTATCAAGAAACAAGAACTGTACTTTGTTCAAAATTATGTCTTCGTCTCTCTGTCTCTCTCTCAGAGTAATTTGCAGAGGCCTTGTCTCAGTGTATTGAATTTTTTCAACAACCCAAATTTTGCTTTTCAGTGAATTTAAAGGCCAAAAGCAGCTTCTCAGTTCGGTGGATGGGATGGGATGCTCAGAGAAACAAATGCATCGAAATAAGACTGGCTAGCATTCATTATTAGTGTGTAATTAGTCCACCAATAAACCGCACTCGGATACATTAAAATCATTATCAGTAATTATCCATGTCCAAATCAACACCACCACCCAATGAAAACAAGACTCCACCCATCATGATTTTGACAGATCGTTCGCGGTACGATAATTCCAAAGACCTCATCACAATCAAAGCTTCAGCAATAAGAATCCAACGGTGGGAACAAGCTTAGAGTGCATGCAGCAGGATCAGGATCAGCCTGTATTATTATAGTAAAGGTCAACAGCAAGGAAAATGAAACCATAGCTCATAATAGCCTCATATCCTTGAGATATTGCGTATTGGAGGGGTTAAAATCAAAGACTATGAATATAAGTAAAGTTGGAAGACCAATTATACCAGAGCACAAGACAGAGATAGTTTTTCTCTCTGCCAGGGATAATAATTTCTTCATCCATTAATTTCTCCGTCAGAGATATTTTCTTTCCCCTGGAATTCCAATTTATGTTCCACAATTTCAAACCTGGGAAGTGGAAGGAGACGTGGGGAAGGATTTATGGACTTCTCTTTCATTTTCCAGACACAGTCGAACCATGTGAAGAATAAAAACTTCCTTGCAACGGACTATTACCGGTCAATTATACACTATTACACCTGGAAAGAGTTATCTGGTGTGTCATTGCGTTATTGGGCAGAGAAGGGATAGTAGGCATCAAAGTGTTTGAAGCCCCTTGTCAAAGAGAATTAAACCTCAACAGCCTCTGGAATTTAAGGAGAAATAAGAAAAACCCAACAGCCAAAAGGAATTAAGAAACGGAGCAGCAACAGACCAGAGACAGAGGAAACTGGATAAAGTTATAATTTTTACATACATAAATAATTTGGCATAGAAGCATAAGCTTTTTACAATGATAGAGATCAGTAAGTGGGATAGTGATAACAAACACCATAATGAACAGAAAAAGAAAAGAGGGAATGATCCCACTGTCTGCTTCAACTATACAAAAGGCAATTCCTTTCTTACCAATCTAGGATTATCTACTTCTTTATCAGAACAATCCCCAAAAAAGAGATTCTACTCTTCTCGCCCACACCAACCATCTTGGTTGGGAAAACATTTACACATAATCTTCAAATCTTCAGCTTGACTTTGCTTCCAAAATCAAATTCCCAGATAGATATACCAACCCTCTCCCTCTCTCTCTCTGCTTCAGAGACACTATTCACAATGAGACAGAAAGCAAAATATGGTAATTAGAGGCCACCAAATTGAACCCAAAATAGAATCATAGACATCTCATCTCAGCAACAAATCAACAGAGAACCATTTAAGAACCCGTATGTGCCCCCACTTGGCCCCACTCACTTCACCAGCTCCGAAACCCACCCAACATCAGGAGCACCACCGCTCGGGCCTGATTCGACCCGACCCAGAGAATTCTCCTCCCTTAGTCTCTCAAACATCTTCGCCCTCAATCCCCTTCCAGACTCCACCCTCTCCATGGCAGGCTCTTCCTCACAACCCTCCTCGCAGAAATCCAAATACCCAATTCCAGAACGCCCCGGTACACGGGTCGGTGTCGAGGGAAGGCTACAGAAACCGGGTCGAAGAATTGACCCCCGTGGTGACACGAACCCGGGAGAGCCCGGAGACCCAAACCCGGAAGAACCCACCTGAACATTCCAAGAAGAAGGCAAAGACTTGACCTTTCCAAGCTGTAAGTTCCTCAGTGAAGCCACCATTTCGTTGACGGAGTTCGAACCCAGAGACCGACTCAGCGACCGGGTCATCGGAGACACCGGCGGGGATATTTCCGGCGACTCCTCTGGCGTGGATGACAGAAAAGGCAGCGTCTTCCCGCACGAGGCAGCAGCCTCTATCGCCTGCCTAAGAGGCGACCCGTCGTACGACTCGGCCGTGCTGAGCGAGTTGGAGCCTCTGGGGCTCTGCTGAGGCAAAACCCTCAGCTGCTCTGGCGTATGCGCGAAGAAACAAACCCTTCGCTTACAGCTCGTGCCGTCCTTACACGGCTGCGTACGATAGCGCGCCGGGTGGAGCCAGCACTCGAAAACACCGTGCGCGAACTCGCACGCATCGCCTTTCTTGCAATGACCCTTTCGGAAATCGGGGCAAGCCGTACCCGAATAGTGGTACTTTCTCGGGTCGCGGCGCCGGGCCTTCTCTCCCGGATGGGCGTAAGGACACTCGGTCCAGTCATGTGACCTCCCGCGAGCGCAGCGCCTTACCTTGAACTCGAACATCCTGAAATGGTCGCAGGAGTATGCGTCGACTGGAGAGTCCGATTCGCGAACCGAAATGTCCGAGTCGGAGTCCGGGTCGGTTTCATTGGAGGGCAAGTAGCGCTGGAACGTCGTCAGGGCTTCGTGCAGATAGTAAGGGCTGTTGTAGTCGGCGCCGTTTGCATTGCCCTCAGAGTTAACGGAGACGCCGCTCAGGGGGAACGGAGAGTATACCTCCGCCGTGGGATCATCGAGTTGAAGCCACGGAGGGACGTGGACCGTTGGATTGGGACGGTGCGGTTCTCCGAGCATCATTTTCTCGTTTTTTGGTGGTTTTTTGTTTTGGTTTGGGTGGTGGTGTTTAGGGGAACATCAGTCTGGTGTAGCTTTCTTTATAAACTGCTCTGAGAGTGGGTTTTAACCGTGGTTGGGCTGGGTTGGGTTGGGAGTTAACCGTGGTTGAGTTGTGAGTTAAAAATTTCTAGGAGCTGCTCCATTTACCACCGCGGTTAAAAGAACCGTACGGGGAGTTTCTCGGTCACGGTGCTGTTTGATTGAATTTGGACAGCTGAAGGTTTGTTCTCCACGTGTTTATCGCGAGGGCTGGGGTTTTATTTGGGATGGTCGTGTGTGACACGTGGGTGCCTAGAATTGGAGGGTGAGCTGGCTCCCGTGAACATGCTGTTTGGTGATCGTGGCGCTGGACTTTTTATTATTTATTGCTAGGCCCTTGGTTTCCGAAGGCGGTGGAGCGTGTGATACGTAATAATATAAAGGATTTTCTTTTTATATAATATTTTGGGCTGCCGACTTGTCTATAAACAGCATCAAAATAAATTAAAACCAAAATTAAAATAACTTAAAATAGAAAACTCCCATGAATAAATTCCCAACCAACGAGAAACTTCTAGGCTTTGGTTCGTGAAGAGGATTTGATGGAAAATGATTTTTTATGTCTTTTTCTAATGAATCGGAATTAGAAGATTCTTTTAACATGTTTAGCAACGATGGGAAAATAATCAAAAAAATATCACTTTATATCATTTTTTATGTTTAATTTGTGAAGGAATATAAAATAAACTTTATTTAATTTTCCAATTAAAAAAAATCAATTAAATACTATATAGTAATTTTAAATTATTAATGGCAACAAAATATAGTTATTTATACTAACACTCCTTAAAGTTTTTTGTGTTTTCATAAAACTCCCTAATGTCTTAAAAATGACACGAACACCCTCTGAGGGGGTTTTATGAAAAAGTCAAAAACCTCAGAGGGTGTTAGTGTAAATAACTCGAATAAAATAGTCATAAAAAATGTGTATTTAATGCTGGCCTTAGCTTCCCACGGGAAGGGAAAATGAAACCCAATATGAAACCCAATAGGCTAGAGAGTTCCATTTCACCCCCACCCCACCAACCCCAATTTTCTCATATGCCATGCAATCATTTTCCAGGCCTAAACTTACCAAACACGAGAAATCATATTCCCCATTCCGAAGCTCCATTTTCCATAAACTAAACGCAACACTAAAGTTGTATAAAATAATTTTTGGAAAATGAATTGTTGTTCATAAAGCATTTAACATACGAATGCACTTATTAAACATGCAATTTTTCATACTCATTCTCTAGTTGTGTACATCATTTTGTACGTATATTTTGTCCATTATGAAGAGGAATCGGTATGAAAATAGACTTATATTATATCAAGTCAACTTGAGTGAGGTTAACAGCAAGATGTGGAAAATAGTTGGAGACTGACTTGGGAGCTCATCTTTAGGTTACGCCAATTTCACCAAGCCTTGGACATATTCAGATCCCATTTCTTGGTTTGTAGCAGTCAATAATGTGAGAGAGGACTTAAATGCATAAAAACAGAAACTTCATATTTGTAACTTGTAAAGTTTTGGTTGTAGTTTATTGTCAATTCCAATGAAGCATAAACTCTCTTGTGCTTTCCTCCCTTGGTTGACTAGTAGATTTCCATGCATGTGTCACGGATATTATCATGCCTAAAAGGTCAATTGACCACAATCCATATCCAACTCAGAATTGTCCAATCCATATTCCATACAAAGATGCCTCTACCCACCCTCCATGAAAATGATATTTCCCTAATTACAGGGCCACAAACAGCTATTGTTGAATGTTTTCATCAATCTTTTAGGTCTAAAACCAGAAACCCTGTTTGTTGTATTAGGGATTTGATGACTGTCTAAGAGCTAACCAAATAGAGTATGTGCTCCCCCATTGGGATCCAACCATCCTGGGCCACACATCCTTAGACATTGAAATGAAGCAGCATGTGTGATGTGGGGGTAGAGCTTTATGTCTATCCATTTGAAGTGAATCAGAGATCTCATTACTTTTCTTAGTGCCCCCTTTTGGCCTATAATTAAAGTTCAGCAGCCCTAGTCGGGGCTCACCTTTTCTGGATGTCTGAATATTTCTACCCACCTCTCCTAAAAAGTAATGGTTATATCAACGTAATCAATAAGATTAGTTGAGTTCAATTTATGCTCCTAGGGTTTGTACGTAGCTGCCCAATTTAATTGTATATGCTTACAACTTATGCTTCTAGGGTATATACAACTGACTACGAGGAAGAGAATTCCAGCTAAACCGATCAAACATCTTCGAAATTGTCACCTCGTTCGTTCGGTTGTAAACCCAAAACAAAAACAAGAACCAAAATGAAAAGGAAAAGGAAAACAATGTGAAATCATGTAGGGATGGGGACGATGTGGGTAGAGTTACGTGGAGGCTAATGAAGGGGATAAGAATGAGGCAGGCATGTGCAAAAGGTCCAAAGGTGCAGCGGAGGATGAGTGAGGTAAAGGGCAAGCATAAATTAAAAAAAGGGCTCTGCCATGCCCTGCTGCTTAATTATATAGGCTGTGAGAATGAAACCCCTTCCCTTTTGGTTACACTTGGTGGTTTCTAGGCTGCGGTCTCAAGGAAGTTAGGGCACGTATGAGGTCTCTTTGTCCACCTCACCACAACACAACAGAATCTGCACTCCGCTTTAGCATCTGTACTGTGGCACTGTACTCAGCTCATGGCTCTCTTGGATTATAGTCCTGTTTGGAGGCTTCTAGTCTTCCGGCGCTTTCTAGAGGCAGCACTATTTTGTCCAACGTGTGCTCGCATAATAGTCCTAAGTTGTGGATGTCCTTTGTTTTTAGGACTAAATAAAAGTTAAATAGGAGGCCTATAAGTCTTGGTATCTTAACCTACATAAATGGGAAATTCTCAATAAACTACTTGTCAAAACATCATCCCTTATTAGCATTTTCATTAGACCTAGCTTAAGGTTGACCCTTCTCTTACTAGCATATGTCGTGTCGCGTGTAAGCAGACGGGTAATTTAAAAGTGTCGACAGCTGAAATTAAGTCGCATGCTCATGTACGGCTGATGCTAACCCCTTTTTTTGGATCAAATATAACATCTCAGGTTGAATTTAAAACTAAAAAGAAAAACAAATGGCATGGATAAGCTTGTTTGGGTTGCCATTCTTAACTCACAGTGTCACGTGAAATAGTGTTGACGAACTGGGGTAAGGGCCAAAGGAGAGGGTAGGAATGGGACAGATGTCCCAAAGCTAAGGACACTTCGCGTCCCGACAAAACAGAAACGAGCTCCCCCGTACGAGTAATATCATGCTCCAGAGAGTGAATGAGATGGATGTACGGACACCTACCACGCGTCCCCTTAAATCTATCCGTTGCCGTACACGTGTCCACGTCTTTTTCCACTCACTCCGGAAGCGACAAGTCTGGTCCTACCATGACTGCCACACAAGCTCTTTTCACCACGTGGCATCATTTCCATGACTCTTAGGTCTCGAGATTCCCGTGATTTTGACGCGTTTCGATTTTGTTATTTTATTTTAATTGACCGCTTTGGTATTATCGTTTTGGAAGAGGAAGTATCGGATGCTACTCCGCGAATATCAGCAGGAACTTGTATCAACGGCTGAAAATCACGGTTCAGTACGATCATGATTATCATCACAAACTACGATCGATCAACTTGATTTTTATTATCATAACCGTTATTTTCGAAATGAAAATTTTATATGCATTTTAACTCTTTTTTTTAAATGAAGTTTTAAAAATTGGTAGTGAGAAGATAACCTTGGTGTTTATATATAAAAATAAAAACCAGATCACGTTTGACTGTCGGTTCTTTGGCTATTACTACCATGAGTGACCATATTTGATATGACGGGCTTTGACAATGATCCTTAGTTAGCTCTCGATCGTCTAAATTAGGAACTAATTTATTTTCTATTATTGGTAAAAATATTATGCATGAGGTGTTACTTTTCAATTTTTTTATACAAAATATATTCTACTTAATCTAATTTAAAGTCTAAATTATATACAGAGGGATACGAACTCGGATGCAAAATGAGTTGCATATCTAATCTAATCAATTTAACTAGGTGGATGTCTCAATTATGTTTTCAGAATGTATTATGACTATTATTTTACACTATTTTGACTTGTACGCGTGTCCTCACAAAACTACAACGCTGTTTACTTGCCTTACAAACAAGGTACATGTAACATGCAAAGGCTAAGCTGCCATGTGATTACTCATCACAAAGTAGTCAATGTATATTTTTTTATATAAAAAAAATATTCGTGGAAATCGATGTGTTCGTGGATTGATTATAGACTCCTGTTTCATCTTAACAATTTCTACGTAATGCAAAATGTTTAATCTAATATTAACATATTGATTAAAAACAAAATGTTGACATGAAACCTCACCAACCAATAGGATTTTTTTAATATATATTATTGATAGTTTGGTGATCTGGATATGTTTGACAGAATAATGATGATTGATTTTTTTTTTAATAAAAAAAGAGTTTGTGGTTTGAAGTAAAAGAAGAAGGAGAAGAGAAATAAACAAAAATCTATCAAATGAAAAAATGAAGGGAGGGAATTGTTTTCTTAAACTTTTTATAATGTAAATGGACATAATTGCTTGCTTCATCGAATGAAAATATAACCAAGGTGTCAGATTTTTGGAAGTTAAAATGCATCAAAACACACTATTTTCAAGCAATTTAAAATGTTATGTTCTTCTCGTCTTGCATATTATCAACTTATATTACACACGATCCTATACAGAACATTTGGATTTGACCCTTAAACCATTTTTGAGAGATATATCATACACTAAGTGGTGGTGTGAGTCATGTCATGCGGTCATAATCCATGGAAGACTTTTCAAATCCTCAAGACTAGCTAAGGTGGGGAGAATAGAAAAGGAAAGCATATGCATGCGAATGATAAATG